GAACTGCATCCTCTGGTTTGATTTTGGAACCTGATCTCTTCACACTGTCAGTCTCAGGCATTCACATATGTATGCTTCAGCGTGCTAGGTGATTGGGTACTAGTTAATGTAATGCCATCTTTTCTAAAATTGTAAAGTGAATTCTAGAGGGAGTGTATTCATCATCAGGACTGACAAATTATGTGTTTGATTAATAGTAGTTGAACTAGCTAAAAATTTCCCCCCAAACTTTAGCAGGTACTTTACAGAGGTTGATTGCTTTAAAAGTGCAAATAATTATTTCACAATATATATTGTGTACTTGACATTATGTACATTATTGTATGTCTATTATGCAAATAAACATTTATGACTTTTATGTTACTTGTTATCAGATTATATTAGAGAAACTACAGAACATCTTATGACCTGGAGGCAGGAATGAGATTGAATCAGGTTCAACCACAGTTGAGCTATAAGATTGTGGAATTATTCACTTTGAGACCCTGAGAAAGTTATTTAATCCCATGAAGCACCCCTTTTCTCAGTTGCCAAAATGGGTACAAGGACCTACCTCAGAGTAGTAAAGATAAACTGAGAATAGATGCAAACACTTAGGACAGTGCTTTGCACATTCATCATCTAAGTGTGGGACTTGCACAAAAAGTGAATATTGATTTTCTAGTTATAGAATCCTTGGGCTTCTCCAATATTATGTAATACTTTGAATATTCAGTTGGTTGGAAACATTTTCTTTCATAATTTTTTAAAAAGTCAGTGCTTTTTTGATTGTAGATGAAACATTTTTTTTTTCATTAAAAAAATCAGAGTAACCAATTTTTTGGGGGACCATGTAACCAGAATAGCCTTCGATATATCAAATCAAACAATGGTATTTTCTTAACCAACAGTATATGTTATTTCCAATAAGTTTATTATACTATGTAAAAATGTTTGTTAAAGAATAATCATATAGGGCCTCCCTGGTGGCGCAAGGGGTTAAGCACAATACTGTGAAGCTATCTGCAGTCTCTGTAGCATGAATTTGATCCCTGGCTAGCCAGGGAGCTACCCACATGACGCAGCAGACATCTCCTGTCTCACCCGCTGCTCCCCTCAGCATTGTACTTCAGTCAATCCACCTGTTCTGTTCCCCACTCTGTCTCTCGTGAATCCTCTCACCTCCCGCACCTCTGGCCTGTACCCCATTTCTTGTATGCATAAATAAATCAATCATTTTTTAAAAAAAGGAATAATCATATACTGTACCTAGATTTTTAAGAATCATAACATAATTTTGCAAAAACTTACCAAAATATTAATATTATATATTTATACATCAGGCTATATTATAAGAGGTAATATAGTTTCCATTAATCTATTTTTAAATCTTTTAAATCTTCCTGTGTTTGTGGAACGTTATAAATTATTGCACTATATTAATCATTATATTTTGCTTTGTAAAGGAAAGTAAGTGTTCTCATTTAAAAATATAAAATATAGATAGATACAGGCATTTTATATATCTATGTATCTTTCTTACCTTTATCAGTACTCAATAATGTGTATCTTTGGACTGCTAGTATTGTATTTTTTTCAATATTTTATCACAGTTGTTTCCTTTTTTAGCATATAGTCTAAAACAGTGAATATAAAAAGTATATAATGAAAAGTATATCCTTTCCCACTTTTTTGCAATCACCCATTTTCTCTAGAAAGGCTATCACGGTTACCTTTTTCTTGTATCTTTCTGAAAATGTTTTGTAAACATACAACTGATATAGTTCCTCATCCCCTACCATACCTCCTCTTTTACACCTTGCTTTCTTTTTTTAAGAGTATATCTTAAAGAGCAAAGAGCAGTCTATATTTTTCTCTGCGGGGGGCCTTGCTGCCCCAACCAGCTAAGAAGCTGGTAAACAAAAGAAAGGGCCTCACTGTGGGGCTGGTGCTGAGCATTTTTCTTTGTTTCAGTTAAATCCCAAAGGACTTGAAGCAACTTCTTTATATTATATTTATTATACATCACATAATATCATATATTATAAAACCAAAGATTTAAAAATAAGAAACATAATTTTGTAAAGGTAAATATTGCCCGATTATGGGAGAATAAAATCATTTTATGTAATTAACAAATGACAAATTTGCAAAAGTAGAACCCCAGGTATTTAGTTTCAAATATAAGGTCAACACAAGAACTGTTAATTTGTATCCTTTCTGTGGAGTGCAAATCTAAAATTGGACCACTATTTTTAAGGCTTGAGGCAAGGTACCGGAACCTTTTTGAATACAGGAAAGGATGTACAGGATGACCAAACCACAGAGATTCAAAGCTAGCCGCAACAGAATTAGCATTTTGCATATGTGGGGGATTATGCTTAAAAATCCTAAAAGAGACTGTTTTATCTCTTTCAACAGAAAACGAGTTTGTTTTAAATATAGTAAAGCATTTTAAAAGTGGGAATTCAATAAGTTGTAAATATTTAATGCTAAGATGTTACTTTAAGGAATAAGATGAATTACATCTAAACTCCTTTTTCCTACTCTACTGATTGAGTTCTCCAGACTCTTTTAAAACAGTGTAGAATTAAATAGTAGGCAATGGCATATTTTTTAAAATTAAAAAAAAAATTACTTGTATAATTGGAATGAGAGCCCAGATAACCGTGTAAGATAAACATCTGTCATTTTGAAAAAACACTGAAAATTGTAACCAGATTCTATACAGATCCCAAGAGACAGATTAACCAAACTCTTACACAGCTTCACACAATTTTAATATGATCAGTGAAACATTTTAGTGAATAAAATAGTGTGCTTTTTAACAATTGTGTGCTTCCCTGTCATTTCAAAGAGGATTTTGGGAGGAACCAGAGCTCTTAACGCTGTCACCAAAGATGGAATATACTCCTAGGATGTGACAGTCACTCAGAAGTGCTGTGTTTTCCTAAGGAGATGCAAGAACCTCATGTCCATGACTGGTGATGTGCACAAGTAAATAAATGTCTCCCAAGTTTTAACAACTCCAAAAAAAAGTGTGCTTCCCTGACAAATTATAAATATTCAGGGATGATGTTGAACCTCCTATATATATATATATATATATATATATATATATTTAAAGATTTATTTATTTATACAAGCATTTATTTACTTATACAAGCACTATTTATTTATTTACTTATTTATACAGTCAGAGGCGCGGGAGGGTAAGTGAGAGAATTCGCCAGAGCCAGAGCAGAGAGCAGAACAGGCAGAATGATGAAACACACTGCTGAGGGGAACAGTGGGCGGCAGGAGAGGTCTGCGCACCATGTGGGACCCTCGCCCAGCAGCCGGGGATCAAACCAGCGCTGCATGTGGGACCCTCGCCCAGCAGCCGGGGATCAAACCAGCGCTGCAGAGGCTGCGGGCAGCTTTGCAACCCAGCGCTCAACCACTGTGCCACTGGGGAGGCCCCTCCTATAAATATATTTAAAAACAATTTCCCACTTAGCTTTCATTCTTGGTATCTTATAAAGAACTCATTTTCATTTATTTGCAGAGCTGCCTATTAACTCTCTAATATAATTAAGTATAAATAAAAGGAATGTAGCATGATTTTTATTCATGTTTAGCTATATTGAATAGCCAAACCACTAAGCCTTAAAAATCTAAGTAATGCAATCTTGAGGTATTTATGTCACAAAAATAAATGTGGATATGTATAAAGATTTATCTGCAGGGCTGTTCATTGCAGCTTCTTGTATAATTAAAAATTGGAAACAATGCAAATATCCTGAAACAAGGGATTTGCCAAATAAGTTATAATATGTGACCACTAAATATTATGTTGATAAAGGACTTGGAGAAGTACAATGTATTAGGACCAACAAAATTAAAATATAGTATACTCACATTTTTCACACCCTAAAGGTGTACAGATGTGCATAAAAAGGAGAAAAGAAAACATATCACAAACAGATAAAAAAATGATACTAATTGCTATTTCTGGATAGCATTATCAGGAATTTGAATGTTCATTTTAGGCATTTGTAATCAATGATTTTGTACAATGAGTACGACCTGCTGCTTTTCTTCCAATCTAGTTATATATCTATACATACACACACTCTTGTGTGTACACACACACATAAAAATTGTAGCCAGATTCTATACAGATCCCAAGTGATATATACATACATATATATGTGCATATACACACACATATTTTCATTTTGGTTTTGTTTTGCCTGCTCAGAATAAGAGCATCTGGCACATCTGGGAAGGTCCCCTTACGTAGGGACAGGGAAAAGAAGAGACAGATGGTTGAATACTGTAAAACTGAACAATGGAGCTACGAACTACAGTCCAATGCTCAGATTCAACTTCTTTCTTTTTGTGGATATTATTCATGTCTTAAAATAGGAGGAAGACAGGGAACAGGGGAAACAGGGACCAGGAAAAAAAATAAAAAGAAAAAGAACTAGCAGGCAAACTATAAATCAGAGACATTCTGCAGGGAAGGAGGAGGGAGAGGGATCAAAGCAGGGGAGGAAAAGAGCACAAGGGGCCTATGATAATGGTGCATGGTTCATGGGTGTCTTGGCTGTGGTAATTTTATGGGAATTATACCTGAGAGGAGAATGAACAATGATGTAAAAAAAAAAAAAAAAAAAAAGAAAAAGAAAAAAAATTTTACTTTCTAACTGCATCTTTTACAAGTGCCATACTTTTCCCTCAAACTTAAAATGCTTATTTTAGTGAAAGAGTGGGGTAAAGTATAAATGAAAATTACACCAGCTATTGAGAAGTGCTTGCACCCTGAGTAAGAACAGGGCATGAAAACGTGTATTTCTTTTCCTTACTGAATTTCAAATGTCTGGCCAACCTGTGCTGGGAAAGAGTGTCACCAGGGGGCCTATTTATTCATCTTTATCAGCCAGACCTCTCAGCTAATTTTACTGGATATTTCATTGCCTGTGTACTTTGTGTTTCCGAAGGGTTAATATTTTCTTTATAACATTGTTTTTTTCTAGGTATAAAGACCAGAAGGTATTATTACTTGTTCAGAGATGGAAAACACTACCACGGTCATTTCTCGGGAGGAGCTGGAAGAACTACAAGAAGCATTTAATAAAATAGGTATGTTTGAGAAAAAACTAAATATGATGTTCCCAGTGTGCTTGATACCACACTTCCAGGAATGGAACAATATCCTTATGCTTTTGTCACCACCCACTTACCCCCAGTTTTCTTTCCTTTTTACCCCTAACTAGGTTTCACTGGATTCTTTCTGAAAGATAAACTAAGACTGGCTTGAATTTCTAGGAGAACTGAACTTTGAATTCTTTGATCATTTCTTTGTAGGAACAATCCAGGTTAATGAATGACAGTGTAACTGAATATGCTTAACATGATATCCTTATTACAGAGAAAAATATAGAAACACTTCCTTGTCAACAACTGAACCCTGATCTTCATAAGTTTATCACTAACAATACCATTTCCTGACTTCATGCAGAATATTTTTGAATCCTGATACTGCCTTTAAAAGCCATATGTCTATTTTCCTTCTCCCTCATGCACAATTTAGAAAAAATCTGAGTGTTTTTTTTTTTAAGGCCATATGTCTTCTTTTTCTTCTTGCACTTGTTAAAGCCAGTCATAATTTTGTCTTTATGACATTATTGTGTTGTCAGCTTTGGGTTTTTTTCCAAAAAAATTCCTTCATACTCTATTGGATCATGGTTCTTCCACATTTTGCTCTTAGGAAACCTCTAGCCACATGGAGATTATAAATACCATCCTTTGTGGTAATCTACAGATGCAGGCAGTGAACCCAGTGAAAGGTGAGTGCAGTGCAGTGCATAGACACTAGGACAGTGACACCAGCAGCCCAACCCTGACTCAGAAGCCCCCTTCTTTTCTGCAGCAGGGTACTTGTGAAAAACAGTCAGCTGGAGGACCAGCCTGGATATCAGATCACTGTTGATCCTGTGCCTGGATTTCTCATAAATGGACTGAGTAATGACTAAAATTAATGTAGATGAAATGCAATGCAGAATGACATTCAGACACCAATATAAAGAAAAAAAAATAAGTTTAAAAAAATGAAACTTGCCCTCCAAAATAATAAAATCAAAAAAGGAAGCTGTCAGAAAGCTTCTGACTTATAAATCTTTGCTATGAGATAGTGAATTTTATAAATCTCTGCACCCTTTTACTTATTGTACAGCCATCCCCAGAGTAATGCAAACCCTCAGAATTTATAGCTTACATAGTGGCTGAATTAGACTCATAGAGAGTACCTTGATCTTGGTCTTTTCTTTTTGTTGGGGGTAGTGATTTTGTCATTAGAGGTTGGCAGGAATAGGATATGATTTTAAAAATACATTCTCAATAATGAATTTTATAGAATATTGTATGGAGTGCCCAGAGTCTTTTCAAGCAGAAAATTGGCGATTATGGGAACATTCTGTGCATTTTTAGCATTGAAACAGAGAAATAATAAAAATATATGGCATGGCCTCCCCTGGTGGTGCAGTGGTTGACTGCTGGGCTGCAAAGCTGCCCACAGCCTCCACAGCGCAGGTTTGATCACCGGCCGCCGGCAAGGGTCCCACATGGCTCACAGACCACTCCTGCTGCGCCCGCTGCTCCCCTCAGGAGTGTATTTCGTCAGGCTGCCTGTTCTGTTCCCCACTTTGGCTCCCGTGCTTCTGACTGTACCCAGTGCTTGTATAAATAAATAAATCTTAAAATAAATATATATATATGACAGTTTAGTTACAGTTTGGTCACTTGAACAAAAGTGCTACAAGGTCTAGGTAAAATGAATGAATTAGAAATCTATTTTCTTTGTTTAGCACGTTAATTTTAATCTTTATGATTCATGAACACATAATCTTGGAATATTTATTTAATGATATTTTGAATAAATTTCTATTGATAGAGCGACTCTGACATCAAGATTATTTGCTCTGTTTGAGGGAAATGTAGACATTAGCAGAATAAATACTTGTTTATTTACAAGCGAAGTTGCCACTTGTGAACACAGTACTCTCTCTGTTAATTTGTACCAAATAACTTTTCTCAGGAGCAGAGAGAGGGACACACCCATCCAACCTTACTAGATATTTTTGGATCTCCAGGGAGAAATGAGGGGCTAAAATTTTTGTTTTGTTTCTTTTTTAAATTGAGGTCAGTATATGTAACATAAAATTTACCATTTTAATCATTTCCAGGTGTATGATTCAGTAACGTCATGTAAATTCACATTGTTGTGAAATTACCACCACCATCCATCTACAGAATGTTGTCATTTCCCCAAACTAAAACTTTATACCCATTAAATAGAAATAATATTCTATTGTATGTACCACATTTTGTTTATCAGTTCATGAATATTTGAATTGTTTCTATCTTTTGGCTATTGTGAATTACGCTACTGTGGACTTGGGTGTACAAATATCTGTTCAAGTGTCTGCTTTCAGTTATTGTGGGTGTGTACTCAGAAGTGGAATTGTGGGATATGTAGTAATCTATGTTTAATTTTTTGAGGAACCATCTTGTTCCCATAGTGGCTGCATCATTTTACATCCCTCCTTGTCAGTACTTGTTATTTATTTATTTACTTTTTGGTAATAGCCATCCTCATAAGTATGAAGTGTTAACTCATGATTTTGATTTGCATTTTCTTGATGATTAATGATGTTGAACATGTGCTTATTGGCCATTTGTATATTTTCTTTGGAAGAATGTCTATTGAAGTCCTTTGTTTTGTTTTTTTTGGTTGATGAGTTGTAGGGAAGTCTAATTTCTTTGGAAACTGTCATGTAAGTCTATCTAACCTAGCCCTTGATTTTCTCATTTTAAAAATTGGAATAGTAAAATTAATGATTTAAAATTGTGACAAGGATTCCGTGAGATAAGGTAAAAGTTCTTAACAAACCACTTGGCGCAGAATATGTGCTCTAAATGGTTTCTGGTATTTCTTGTTATGTTACATGTGACTCAGGGGTCACAGAAATGGAGCTGGGATTTTAGGATACAGATCTGTCAATATTTAGAGCCCTAGCTTTTAACTGTTCTTACTAGTTTAGTGTTATGGTTAGCATTTAAATAACTTTTCTTCAATCTTACTTATTTTTAAATACTCCCTACCAAAGTGCTAGTATAGAAGAAAGATAGCTAGTTTATTTATCTACTTCAGAATTATAGGAAATAATTTTGAACTGGTGATGCACTAGATAGTGAGATTTTGCTCTAAATTTAAAGAAAGCAATGTTGTTATTGCAATGTCAAGCAGTTTAGCTTTCTAGATGACATTTGAGATAATAGTTCTATTTTCATTATTGGTAAGGTCTGGTTTAGATAATTTCCATTGTCCTGAATAGTATGAATTCTGAAACCTTCACGTAGAAGTTCAAGTTTGTCTTTATCATTAATTTAGTTATAGAGATGACAGCTTTTTCCCTTGGAGGAAAAAGAAATAAGGAACAAAGCAACTATTAGCAAATGAACAAAGAGAGTCTACACAAGGTAGATCCAGGCAACTAACCAAACAATCCAAAGTTCTGTTGCCAACTGTGGGCTAAAGTGTTTTCTGTCACCGTTGTTCTTTATCAAGAAGTTATGTCCAGACTCTGGAAAAAACACAGGCATGGGCACCCAGAAAACTTTTCAAAAGCCCAAATAAAGGTGTGAAATGATTTCTTGAACACTTGGTCTCAAAATGACATCAACCTGAGTCAGCTTACATAATAGTATCATAAATACGTAATGAAGAAGCAATGAATTATTGACAAATGAAACAACTGCCACCAAGTGAAATGTAGCCCAGAGGAAATGACTTGTGTGTATTTTACATGGTGCATATATTGTATACAGAATGTGGGGCTGCTGTATCCACTTTGTAGATTCCATGAAGAAGTAAAGTCTGGATAAGGGTTCCCTCATGGTTATTGTTGCTGTATATTTCTGGATATTTGAAACTATACCATACTTAATTCTTTGAAACACCATCATGTATTGAACCTGAGTTTTTCATCTGTTAGAGCACTGCTCATAATTATGTATATTAGTCCTAAATTATGAGGAGAAAGTCCATTGAGAAATAGGAGTTTTGGGATAAAATGTATGGAACATTTTGTACAGTTCAGTGCAGGAGAAGAAATTACTACATTTTGAGAGGTTCTGTTTGCCTCTGAATCTCCCAGATGACCTTCTGAATACACAACTTCAGCAAAGAGTACAAGTGATATTTGATAGCTCATACTAAAGTATATTAGTTATATATATATATATTACAGATATATATAATATATTGTATATGTTATAATATATATACTATATATATTGTATATATATTACAGATATTGACAACAGTGGGTATGTCAGTGACTATGAACTTCAAGACCTGTTTAAGGAAGCAAGCCTCCCTCTGCCTGGCTACAAAGTTCGCGAGATCGTAGAGAAAATTCTAGTAGTTGCTGACAGCAGCAAAGATGGCAAAATCAGCTTTGAAGAGTTTGTGTCTGTAAGTACTCTAAATCATCTGATTATTTTGTTTTGAGTTAAATTTTAGTAATGTCATTGCTCTCATTGGTTAAATCTGACTGCGGAGACCAGAAATAGCATTGCTTTAAAATGATAACATCATCACTGCCACAATTTTCACAAACAATTCATAAAATAAATGAAAAAAATATCATTCTGAAATTCCTGGAAGGAATTCGTACTTGTGCCCCAGTAGAATTACAATTGAATTCAATGCTCAGTGATTACCTGTATGTGCAGAATATTATAATAGCGTAGTACTGGGTCTTGAGAAACAGAGTATTTCTTGTAACTGAGATAGCTAAGATATGTAAGGGGTCTGTCCTGGAAACTGATTATTTCCTTGTAATGTTATGTTTTCAGTTTCATCAAATGCCAGGTAAATTTTGATGCTACCTAGATGATTAAGCTAACTCCAGGCTCAGGGAACTGAACAAAATAAAAAATAATATATGACTCACAGAAGGAAAAAGAAAAATATTGGATTATTTCACTTATAGGAGGAATATAGGGGAACCAAATAAGATATCAGGGGAAAAAATAATAACAATACAAAACACAGTGCAACAAAACCAAACAAACAGACAATTATAAGCCAGAGACATCCTGCAGGGGAGGAGGAAAGGGAGGGATCAGAGGGAGGCATGGAGAAGCACAGGGACTGTGATGATGGTGCACGGGTGCATTGGTGAGGGAAATTCTATGGGGACTACACCTGAGGGGGGGGCCAAAGAAAAGCAAACATTGTTTAAAAATGAACAGTGCTATAAAAATATATATTAAAAAATAAATAAAAATAATATGACTCAACCAATAAAAGAAAAATAGATTATAAAACCGAATATTGAATATCATATATTTCAAACTGCTCCAGCCAAGAGAGATGAGTTGGTTAAATTGCTATCCCTGACTGGCAGTTGAGCCTAGGCTTTATATCTTTCCCTCAGCACAACCATTACCATATTTTTCATATGAAAATATAACCATTAATATAATTGAATAAATACTTATGAAATATATATTATCTGGTATTGCTTCTTTTTTCCCCCAAAGATTTATTTTTATTTATTAATATGGAGAAGAACTGGGGTGTAGGCCAAAGGTGTGGGGAATGAAAGGATTCATCAGAGACAGAGAGGGGAGCTGAACAGGTGGATCTACTGAAATACAGTGCTAAAGGGAACAGCAGGTGAGACAGGAGAGGTATCCTGCACTACATGTGGGTTAACTCTCTGGCCAGGGTTCAAACTCAGGCTGCAGCCATGAAGCATGAGAGTGCTGAGACTTAATCCCTGTGCCACCAGGGAGGCCCCCGGTATTGCTTCTTTATTCATTTAGCAAATCTTTGCTCTCCTTTCTTACCAGGAACTTTACTAGGCACTGTGAATAATGTGACAAACAAAAAGTTATTTGGCCTTGCTTTCATGGTGTTTACATGTGGGATAAAGGGAATCACACAAATGAATAAAAGATAACAACTGTGATCATTGCTATGAGCCCATGTTCAAGTCCCATGAGAATTTGTAGTGGAACATTGATCGTGGTGAGGAGACTAAAGAACGTTGTGACTCAGGGAAACTAAACACTGTCCTAAATCTGTGAAGACTGAGCTGAGATATGAAGAAAGATGATAAACAAATGAAAGGGGTGAGGTGAGGGAAATGAATAATATTCTAGGTAGGCAGGTGGAGGTGACAGCCTGTGTAGAGACTTGTGGCTTTAAGAATAGTAAATACTGTCCAGCAATCAAGGAAAAGGCCATTGTGACTGGGGCTGAGATGATACGGGTAAAAAATGTGGCTGTGCTGGAGAAGTAGTCAGGGTTAGATCACACAGGGTCTTGCAGGATTTTCATTATTTTCTAAGAGCAGAAGACAACCAGTGCAGTAATAGGAATAGAGTGTGAAGTGACAGGATCAGATATGCATCTTTAAAAACTCTCTGCTGTTGGGCCTCCCTGGTGGTGCAAGGGGTTAGCAGCACTATGAAGCTATGCACAGCCACTGTAGCATGAGTTCGATCCCCGGCCAGGGAGGTGACCCATATGGCACAGCCAACCTCCCCTGTCTCGCCCGCTGCTCCTCTCAGCAGTATATTTCAGTCAGTCCGTCTGTTCTGCTCCCCACTCTGTCTTTGGTGAATCCTCTCACCCACCATACCTATGGCTTATACTCCAGCTCTTTATGCATAAATAAATAAAATAAATCTTTAAAAAAAACTCTCTGCTGTCAGGAGAACTGATTGAATTCCTTTTTGTCAGTCTCTAGAGTTCAATAAGAGAAACTGGATAGGTGTAACAGAAATAATCCTTTATTTCCTAGAAGGGCTGATTTTTTTATTTTAACATATATACATTTGAGATATTCAGACAGTGAAATACCTCCATCAGGCATTTAAAAATCTTTATCATGTAGTTATTTTTTATTCTGTGGCAAGTCTAGAAGAAAAAAAATTTTTTTAAGATTTATTTATTTTTATAAAAGAACCGTGGTACAGGCCAGATGTGCGAGTGGGTGAGAGGATTCACCAGAGACAGAGCAGGGAACAGAACAGGCAGACTGAAGAAATACACTGCTGAGGGGAGCAGCGGGCGAGCCAGGAGAGGTCTGCTGTGCCATGTGGGATTCTCGCTGGCCGGCTGGGATGGAACCCGCGCTGCAGAGGCTGCGGACAGCTTCACAGTGCGGCGCTCAACCGCCTGCACCACCAGGGAGGCCCTAGAAGAATAATTTTAGTATGTTCAATTTAAGCTTACTTATAACAAAATTTCTTCTAGTGTTTAGGATGTAACCTTTGGCCATTTTATGTTATTGGTAAGATAATTAATTGTGTACACTAGCAATTAGTGTAAGAAAACCGATTAATACTTATTTTGATGTGATTTCAAATAACTAAGTCTCACTATCTTCATGTTGCAATTTTTATGATTCTCTGTTCAAGTCTCAATTTTATTTTTATCTCTATTCCAGCTAATGCAAGAGTTAAAAAGCAAAGATATCAGCAAAACATTCCGAAAAAGAATTAGCAAAAAGGAAGGAATTACTGCTGTTGGAGGAACATCATCCATCTCCAGTGAGGGCACACAGCATTCTTACTCAGGTAACTTCCCATGCCAAATTTGATCTTTTAGTCATTGATTCATTCTGTAACTTCCATATTTTATCAAATCTGAGATGTTGTTCATTGTAGTAAACACCATATTTTTTTGTGTACCATTGAGGGACAATCAGACTAAATGATATGTGTCATCAAATTTGAAACACGTTTCAGTTTCACAGATATCAGAATGACAAGTCCTAGAACCACTGAAATCAATGAATTCCCACTATGTGTCAGGCGCAGCATATAACAAAGAAAGAAGCTACAACATAGGAGTTATTTGTATTTCAGCATTGAATATGTTTAATCATGACTTTCGAATGGATTTTTAATCCTGACTGGTGAGGTGAATATCCTTTTAACCTGATCTAGGAATGGTGGAGAGGTTTAGTGCAAGGACTTTTCACTTTCATTATCCAGGAGCAAAGATTACTGATATATCTTTTATCAAGCAACCAAATGACCAGAGAGCACAGCATCCTGATTTGCATGATCTGATAGAATTTCTGGGGTTTTGCCCAGTGGGGAAATCCCATCACTTTAACTCTTTAAAAAAAATTATTTCTTTAATAGAAGAACTGGGGTGCAGGTCAGAGTTGTGGGGGTGAGAGGATTCACCAGAGGCAGAGTGGGGAGCTGAACAAGTGTGAATCTACTGAAATACACTGCTGAGGGGAGCAGCAGGCAAGGCTGGAGAGGTCTGCTGTGCCAATGGGTTACCTCCCTGGCTGGGGATGGGACTCAGCCCTTTGTAGTGGTAGTGCTGAGACTTAAACTCTAGGACACCAGGGAGACCCAACTTTAACTTTTAAGATGAGGTGTCTTGTCCATGTTAAGCTTCTCAGGGTTGAGATATCTAAAAACCTTTGGCCATGTCCCCTATTGCTTATGACAACATAATTAGAACTATGCTTTTTAAATTTTTTACAAATTAAATTTATTTTTTTCTAAAGATTTTTTTTTTTTAAATTTATTTATTTATACAAGCAGTGGGTACAGTCAGAAGAGTGGGAGGGTGAGAGAATTCACCAGAGTCAGAGCAGGGAGCAGAACAGACAGACTAAGAACACTGCAGAGGGGAGCAGCGGGCGCGACAGGAGAAGTCTGCGCGCATGTGGGACCCATGCCGGCAGCTGGGGATGGAACTGGCACTGCAGAGGCTGCGGGCAGCTTTGTAGCCCAGCACTCAACCACTGCACCATCAGGGAGGCCCACAAATTTAAATTGTTACTATAACTTTGCTCCCACTTTCTTCCTTTGAGATCTGAGTCTCTTGATTCTCTTCCTTTCTAACTGGATTTTCCTCTAACAGTGTCTTCACCCTTTGTTTATTTTTCTGAGCTTTTCCTACTAGGGAAGTATAATGGTAAAGGCAGTGGTCTATAACCACTCTGTCCATTTTTTAAAAAAATTATTTATTTTCTTTCTTCTTTGTTAATGTATTTGATTTCTCCTCTCCAGTGTAGAGCCTGTAGTTTTCCCCGTGACCCATCTCCCCTATCCCTTGTGCTCTTGCCTCCCTTGTTTGGGGCCCTCCCTCTCTCCTTCTGTGTGCCTCAGCTCTATGGTCAGCTTGCAAGTTTTGTCTTTTTTCCTGACACTTTGTTTGGTTTCTCTGTATTCCTCAGATAAGTGAAATCATCCAATATTTATCTTTTTTAAAAAAGATTTATTTCTTTATGCATGCAAGAACTGGGGTACAGGCCAGAGGAGCAGGTTAGGGGAGAAGATTCACCAGAGACAGAGCTGGGAACAAAACAGGCAGACTGACTGAAATACACTGCTGAGGGGAGCAGTAGGCGAGTCAGGAGAGGTCTGCTGCAGCGTGTGGTTGCTCCCTGGCTGGCTGGGGATTGAACTCATGCTGCAGTGGCTGCTGATTGTTTTGTAGTGCTGTGCTTAACTCCTTGCACCACCAGGGAGTCCCCAATATTTATCTTTTTTCTTCTGACTTCATTTAGCATAACTATCTCCACTTTTTAAAAGTATTCACGACTTCATTTTTGCTCATTCTAATGAAATGCCTCCATTCTAATGAATTCTATTCTTTAGAAATATTTCTTCCTTTTTTTTTTTTTTTTTTTTAGGATTTATTTTTATGCATACAAGATCTGGGACATAGGCTAGAGAAGGGAGGGGGCAGTGAGAGGATTTACCAGAGATAGAATGGGGAACAGAACAGGCAGACTGACTGAGACACACTGCTGAGGGGAGCAGTGGGGAAGCCAGAAGAGGTCTGCTGCACCATGTGGGTTGCTCCCTGGCCATCCGAGGATCAAACTCATGCTGCAGAGGCTGCGGATTGCTTTATAGTGCGGTGCTTAACCCCTTGCACCACCAGGAAGGCCCTGTTTCTTCCTTTTTAAAAAACCTGTTTATTGATACACACACACACACACACACACACACACAGAGTAATCAAAGTGCTAGAATTGTAAGTGCCCAATGAGGTGAATTTTTACATATATACACATACTATAGCTACATCATTATAGCTGCCAACCGATCGTGATAGAACATTTCTATCACTCTGGGTAACTCCCTCATATCTCTAGCAGTAACTCTGCCTCCCCAGGGAAATATTTTTTTTCTGATGTCTTTTCTGAACTTGTTTTTTGAGGTAAGAGATGCACATAGTAAAGTGTACTCTTTTTTTTTTTTTAAAGATTTATTTATGCATACAAGAACTAGGTATAAACCAGAGATGCGGGGGATGAGAGGATTCACCAGAGTCAGAGTGGGGAACAGAACAGGCAGACTGAAACATACTGCTGAGGGGAGGAGTGGGCGAGACAGGAGAGGTCTGCCATGCCAGGTGCGTTTCTCCCTGGCCGGCCGGGGATCGAGCTTCTGCTGCAGAGGCTGTTCATTGCTTCATAGTGTGGTGCTTAACTCCTTGTGCCACCAGGGAGGCCCTAAAGTGTACTCTTAAGTATATGTTTTATGTTATTTTTACATCTGAATACCCCCATGTGATCTTTTCAAAAATGATGTAGAACAATTTATTGATTTTTTTAAATAAGAACGGTTTTTTTGGAGATATAATTGACATAGCATGAAATTCACCCATTTCTCATATCAGTGAAAGCATTGTTACCAGGCAGGGTGAGGGGCACCCAAGAACCCCCAAACTTGCTCTAAATCGGTTCTGCTATCTGCTACATCAAGAGAAAACATACTCTAGTATGTAAGACCTTTAATGGAAAGGAACTTTAATATAATTAGTGTGCAATAAAGACAAAAGAAGGGAAAGAATAGATAAAATATTTTTCAAATCAAGCACCCAAAGTTACCCATCCTTTTGTGGGTAAATGTCTAGCCAAACAGGGTTGACCCAAACAGGGCTGCTGAGGCCCAAAAGCCACAAATCTAAGGCACCTTCTGGTGGGTACCCCTAGAAAAGGGGCAGAAGAGACCCGACAAGTCTGGAAGGAAAAAAAAAAAAAAAAAAAGCAAAATCAAGGTAAAGGCTGCCATTATTAACCTCCCCACGGATCCTTCACCCACTGTTTCAAGTGTCTCATTCCATGTCCCCCAATAACAAGTAAAAGGCCGAGAATCAAGCTCAGCTTCTTCACATGCCTCTCTGTTCCACGTGCCTCCTCCAGGTCTTCATCTTGCTCTCCTTCTTTCCTTCCACCAGTCTCCTCTCCAGCTTCTCTTCCCTGCTCAACTTCACCCTTCTTTAGGTGGGGCAGGGAACCTGGAACCTCCCCTTTCCCTGAGTACTGCTGTTACAGTATTTTGTCTTTCTCCTTCTGACTTATTTCGCTTAGCATTTTCCTCTCCAGTTCCATTCATATTGTTGCAAACAGCAAGCGTTCAGCTTTTATTTAGCTGAGTAGTATTCCATTGCGTATATGTACCACATCTTCCAGACGAGTGGTCATCTGTGATTGGGGCATTTAGATTGTTCCCATAACTTGGCAATTATAAGTGGTGCTGTTATAAGTAAAACATAAAAGGGCATAGATTGAGTCAAATTAAATGTTTTTGCATTCCTTACGTAGATACATAGCGGTGGAATTGATAGATCTATTTTTAATATTTTGAGAAATCTCTGCTTTTCTTAGGGGCTGGACCACTCTGCATTGTAAGCAACAGTGAAAGAGAGTTCATTGTTCTCTACATCCTTGTCAACAGTTGTTGTTTCTGGTCTTTTTGATATGGACCATTCTCACAGGTGTGAAGTGATAGCTCATTGTAGTTTTGATTTGCATTTCCCTGATGATAAATGATGATGAGCATTTTTCATGTGCCTGTTGGCCATCTGCATGTCTTTGGAGAAGTGTCTATTTAGCTCTTCTGCCCATTTTTGACTGGGTTCTTTATTTTCTTCTTGTTGAGTTGTTTGAGCTCTTTGTAGATTTCGGGTATCAGCTCCTTATCAGATTTATGATGTGAACATATTTCTCTCATTTAGCAGGATGGCTTTAGTAATAGTTTCTTTTGCTGTGCAGAAGCTTTTTAGTTAGATATATTTCCAGTTATTTATATTGTCTTTTATTTTTCTTGCTGTTAGAGATGAATCCATAAAGACATCACCGAAACCTGTGTCATGGAGGTTATACCTGTGTTTTCTTCCCTGTATTTTATGGTTTCAGGTCTTTAGTCCATTTGCTATCACATTTTGTTCTTCCTTTTAATAGTTGATAGATAGTTGGATTGTTTCTACTTTTTTGACTATTTTGAATAGAGTTGTGTGAATATTCATATACATATTTTTGCCTAGACATCTGAATGCATATACCTAGGAGTGAGATTTCTGAGTCTTTTGCTAACTCTGTATTTAGCATTTAAAAAAAATCACAAAACTGTTTTCCAAAGTGGAAAGTGTTTTTGTACATCCCCACAAGCAATGTATGAAAGTTCCAGTTTCTTCACATTCTTGCTAACACTTGTTATTGTCCATTTTGTTTATTATAGTCATCCTAATGGTTGTGAAGTGGTAGCTCAGTCCTGGTTGCTATACTTGGAACATTCTCCCTTCCCTTCCCATCTTCTCCATAAAGTCTTTTCTTGGTCACTCCAACCAGAAGTGTGATTATTTCTTTCTTTGTGTTCTTAAAAATGTTGCCTGTATTTTTCCTGTGCTGTGTTTATTTTCCTTATGTTGCATCTCTTTGTATACCTATTTTATCATTACACTAAAAACTCCTCTATGAGAGATGTAATACTGTAGTGATTCTTAAATCCATAGACTGTAAGCCCCTAAGAGGCATGTATGGTAAGGCAAGAAGATAAGGCAGATTCTGACACGCGCAAGTGAAGATTATTAGTAAATGTTTGTGTCTGATGTATGTGTGTGTGCATATGTGGTGGATTAAGTTTGGGGGGTACCTGCCAAATAAACCTTGCAGAATAGTACCTAATTCTAGGATTGAGGCAATAATAGGGATTGTCAGCTCTCTCTATGTTACCCTGTGTTGGAAATAGGAATTCTTTTCTTTTTTAGGTAAACAATGATTTTCTTGCCTGAGTATATAGACAAATTTATGCAACCTGGACAGAGGCTCTGGGTGACTCATATTTCCAGCTGGGGGTGTGAGAGGACCCATATGGTCTTGTCATTGTCATTGTGAGCCTACAGGTGAATACCACTCGATCAGAATCAGATGGAATTTAGCATCCTTATCCTTTCTGTTCCTCTCAAAATGCTTTTGAACAGCAACCATTTTCTTAATTAAATAGCCAAGATTCTCAGGAGATCTGAAGCAAGTCTCTTGGATATGGGAATTCTAAAGATATGATTGCCTATCACAGAACATATTTGTGCAACACCACGTGAATCTCTCAGGATCACACCAATTTGTGAGGGAGTCAGACCCATCTTGGACATTTTTATAGCTCTGTTTCTCTGTGTCTTCAGAGAGGGGAAGGAAAGGGAGGTGGGAAAAAGGGGAGAAGGGGCCCAGTGATCTAGGGTAAAGGAGTAATGGTGCTTTGATGTTGGAGTGGGGTGGTAACATACATCAGGGGAGCTGTGAACTTGTTCCCCCAAATCACATACATTGTTATAAATCAATGTTCCTACAATAAAGAAAATACAAAAAGAAGTCAGCTTCAACCAGGTGGAGAAGCAGCAGTAGTGAAGAGTCAACTCTGACAGTTACTTCCCAGGAGCAGGCATGTAATTCATGACGATGGCAAACAGGCAGTGAAAAAACAAGACTTCTTTTTTCTTTGAGGACTCAGTTCCTTCTGATTCTCTGAACTGTACAACCCAACATTTTCTGCCTGAAGATCAAGATACCCACACTAGAAACCTTGTGTTGAGAAGTTGAGGGTGAAGATAGTTAAGAGTGAAGCTGGTGTCTAGATTTTTGTCACTCTTCTTTTAGTAGAAATTCTGCAGAAATGGAACTTTTTTATTAATTTCAATAACTCTTGATTTAAACCAGTATTTCTGTTGTAAGTCCAAAATCACAACTTTAGATTTGAGGGAGGAGTGGGGTTTAGTCTGTGGATATTTGTGTGAGTCTGTGTGTGAGAGAGCGAGCTAGAGAGGGAGCTCTGATGTTGGCTTCAGATATATTAGCTCTCAAATGTAATATATATTTAGAGAGATTTAAAAAATTAAACCAAATATTTATTACACTCATTTTCAACTATGTACCTTATCTCCCCTAATATCAGATGAAAGAATAGAATGAATTTCCCTTTCTCCTTTCTTTAAAATCTTTAGTGTTTTGGTAGAAGATTTAATAATTGGCATGCTTCTCTGAAAGGAAATTTAGAAGGATTTATTTTATTTTATTTTATTATTTTTTTTTTTTAATTTTTTTTTTTTTTTTTTAGAGGCATGTTTTATTTATTTATTTGTTTGCTTGTTTATACATGCACTGGGTACAGTCAGAAGCGCGGGAGGGTGAGCGAATTCACCAGAGCGGGGAGCAGAGCAGGCAGAAGGACCGAAGTACACTGCTGAGGGGAGCAGCGGGCGGCAGGAGAGGTCTGCGCGCCATGGGGGACCCTCCTCCAGTGGCTGGGGAGCAGCCGGGGATCGAACCAGCGCAGCAGAGGCCGCGGGCAGCTTCGCAACCCAGCGCTCAACCACTGTGCTACCGGGGAGGCCCAGAAGGATTTATTTTATTATTTTATTTATATATATTTTACATCATTGTTCATTTTTAAACAGTGTTCTCTCTCTCTCCCCGCCCCCCACTGCTGGTGTAGTCCCCATAGAATTTCCTTCAGCAATGCATCCATGCACCATCACAGTCCCCTGTGCTCCTCCCTCCCTTCCTCTCACCCTTCTCCCTCCTCCTCCCCTACAGTATGTCTCTGGTTTATAATTGTCTTGTTATGTTGTGTTTTGTATTGTTATTATTTTTTTCTCCTAATGTCTTATTTGGTTCCCCTATATTCCTCCTATAAGTGAAGCCATCACTATTTTTCTTTTTCCTTCTGACTTATTTCACTGAGCATAATCCCTAGAAGGATTTTTTTGTTTGTTTGTTTTTTGTAGTGCAGTGAATTTGGTGAACTGAGGCTTGCTTACTGAGATTTTCTATTTTCAGAGGAAGAAAAAGTGGCGTTTGTTAACTGGGTAAACAAAGCCCTGGAGAATGACCCTGACTGTCAGCATCTCCTACCCATGAATCCCAGTGATGGCAGTCTTTTCAAATCACTTGCAGATGGCATCCTTCTTTGGTGAGTTGGGCACTGGGTTAGGGCACTGTGTTCTTAATGTCAGCATTGATAAGGATTCAATGAAAACTACAGTTCTGCGAGTCCATTGTCTTTTGGAATTCATTAACAAGTACCCACATAGGTCTTAAAGAGTTTATATTTTGGGGCCTCCCCAGTGGCGCAGTGGTTGAGCGCTGGGTTGCGAAGCTGCCCGAGCCTCTGCAGCGCTGGTTCGATCCCCGGCTGCTCCCCGGCCACCGGAGGAGGGTCCCACATGGCGCGCAGACCTCTCCTGCCGCCCGCTGCTCCCCTCAGCAGTGTACTTCCGTCCTTCTGCCCGCTCTGCTCCCCGCTCTGGCTCTGGTGAATTCTTTCATCCTCCCGCGGTTCTGACTGTACCCAGTGCATGTATAAATGAATGAATGAATGAATGAATAAATAAATAAATAAATCTTTAAAAAAAAAAAAGAGTTTATATTTCGTAGAACATAATTATATGTTTTCCAAAATTTTCCTTCGAACTCAGCTTCTTATTTTCCTGGATCCTTTTTCAACTATCTCTTAAATAATAGCAGGAAACTTGAATTTTCTCTCTAATGTATTTTTAAGTGTTCACAGAATTGCTTTTATTTTACTTCTCAGTATGGGAAAATCAGCTACTGACTGGGATAGGAACTGCAGGACATGTAAAAGAAAGATGGTTAATGTGTCCTTAAATAAAATCAGTGTTTTAACTCAGCCTTGCCATATCCATGGCACTACATATCATATCCATGGCACTACATTGCTCTCTACATTATAAATTCTCTAAGGGCGTGTCCTGGTCTTTTTTGTATATACTTTGGTCCCCAAATACTTATTTAAATGAAGCAGGTTTTTTTTTTTTTTTTTTTTTAAGATTTATTTATTTATTTATTTATTTATTTATTTATTTATTTATTTATACATACAAGCACTGGGTATGGTCAGAAGCTCGGGAGGGTGAAAGAATTCACCAGAGCCAGAGCAGGGAGCAGAACAGACAGTCTGACGACATACACTGCTGAGGGGAGCAGCGGGCGCGGCAGGAGAGGTCTGTACGCCATGTGGGACACAAAGAAGAAAATAGCATAGTTACTCTTACTATCCATAATTAACTATTATTAGCATTCTGGCATATTCCCTTCAATCTTTTTTGTGCAAAAAAACAAAAATAAAAAGGTGTTCACAAGTACAGGATATTAGTTTTTTGAGTATTACATATATCTTTACTTACACCTACAATTTTTATCTCTTTCTTTGACTTTCAGAGGAAATTCCTTCTGTGAATCGAATAGTTATTTTCTAATTTTATTTTAAAATATAAAATCTATTCTGAAATAGAGACAAAATGTATATTAATTTCTTTTAAAATTTTTTAATTACTGAGATTTTAGAAAGATCAAGTCTCTGGCTCCTTACCTTTCTGCAACAACAGTAATATTAAGTGTTGATACTACTTTATGAAACTTGGCTTCTTGAGAATACCTTTGTCTACAGTCCAGACTGCTGAATGTCAATGATCATTACATGAAGTAGTTACAAGACTCATTAAAAAAAATGCAGGACTGTTTTTTAAAAACAGGAGGAAATGCTAAGATTACTGTTGGCAGTGAAATGGATTTGGTTTTGGTTAGAGGATATTTCCTAGATTTTTAATTGAGTCCCTGGCATGAATTACAGTATTAAATAAAGAAATAGATTGTCAGTACTTTTAAATATTAACTTTTTGTCTACTTGTAAAATTAACCTTAAAACATTTCTATGAGTCTTAAACTCTTAGAAGTGAAGTTGTTAATTTAATTTCTTAATTGATAAGACTTAAATTATTTCCATTTTCTCTTTAGCAAAATGATCAACTTATCTGAACCAGATACAATTGATGAAAGAGCCATTAATAAGAAAAAACTCACTCCTTTCACTATTTCTGTAAGTATTTGCTTTTTGCTAGTAATTATGTTATTGTGATAAAAGGCTCGTATTAATGGATGTTTAGGACTAGGCAGAACCTTTGATTAAACATTATTTAAGTATCCTATAAAAACTAAATATATGTTAAATAAAAATTAAGCTACATTTTGTTATAAAGTTAAGATTCAAAGTACTTTGGATGAGTTCTTGCAATAATAGTATTGAGATTATATTGATGTAATTACTGAGTTATTTTTACGTTTTTAAAAATTTATTTATCCATACAAGAACTGGAGTGTAGGCCAGAGGTGTGAGGGGGGTGAGGGGATTCACCAGAGACAGAGTGGGGAGCAGAGCATGCGGATCTACTGAAATACACTGCTGAGGGGAGCAGCAGGTGAGACAGGAGAGGTCTTCTGCACCATGTGGGCAACTCCATGGCAGGGGATTGAACTCATGCCACAGTGGCTGGTGATAGCGTGGTAGTGCTAAGACTTTAACCCCTGTGCCACAAGGGAGGCCCTATGTCATATAGTGTTTTGCCTATATTTTCTTCTATATATTTCATGGTATAAGGTCTTACATCCAAGTTGTTTATCCATTTTGAGTAATTTGCATGTATGGTGGGATATACTGGTCTAGTTTCATTATTTTGCATATAGCAGTCCAGTTTTCCCAGCACCATTTATTGAGAAGTCTTTCCTTGTTCCAGTGTAAATACTTCACTCCTTTGTCATAGACTAGTAGTCCATATATGTGTGGTTTTATTGGTAGGCTCTTGATTCTTGCCACTTGTGTATGTGTCTGTTTTTGTTCCAGGACCTTACTGTTTTATACTAAGGCTTTATAGTATAGTTTAAAGTCACTATATGGTTACTGTTTTCTTTTTCTTCCTTGTAGTTGGTAAGCAGTCTGTGGGTAGATATTTGAAGACAAGGCAAACATCCTGCTCCTTTTCAAGGTTTCTCCCTAGATTTGATATGCATTGATGATTCTTTTCTACTGAAGTCTTTATTTTGATGGTTGCAAAATGATGTTTTTCAATTCCATCACTTCTGCCGCATTTTCCCATCAATCCTTGGCATTCTACTGTAACCAAGAAACATCTTTTTTTCCCTCTCCCTCCCTTTCTGTCATTGATAGGAATTCAGGACTTCCAACTCTTTTCCAGTATCTTAATTCATTACTGTGCCTAATTATTTTGGTGTTCAAATTGCCCCACATTTGGACTTAGAGAACCCCTTTAAAGTGATTTTTTTCCTATATTAAAATATATATAACAAACATTTTCATTTTGACTATTTCTAGATGTACAGTTATGGGTTGTTAAATATATTCAAATTACTGTGCATTTATCAATACCATTCATCTCCAGAATTTCTCTTCCTGAACTGAAACTTTGTATTCATTCAATAATAACAACCCATCTCCCTTCCGAGTTCCTGGGTTGTCATCATGTAAGTAGAGTCATGTGGTATTTGTCCTTTTGTGACTGGTTTATTTCAGTTGGCATAATGTCTTCAAGGTTTTTCCATGGCAGAATTTCCTTAGTTTTAGAGACTGAATAATACCCCCTTGTAAGTCTGTCCCATGTTATGTTTATCCATTCATCTGTAGATGGAAACTTGAGTTGTTTCTACCTTTGTATATTTGAATAATGTTGCTGTGGACATCAGAGTACACTTAAATATCTATTTGAGCCCCAGCTTGCACTTCTCTTGAGTATATAACCAGATGTAAAATTGCTATAGTAATTTGATTTTTAATGTTTTGAGGAGTCACCATACTGTTTTTCACAATGGCTGTAACATTTTTCATTCCCACCAGCAATGCAGAAAAGTTCCAATTTCTCTATATTCTCTCTAGCAATTTATTTTCTGTTTCTTTTGCTTGTTTGTTTTAAATGACATGCATCAAAATGGGTATGAAGAGGTTTCTCATTATGGGTTTGATTTATGTTACCCTAGTAACTAGTCATATTGAACATATTTTTATTAACTAGTTTTCTGCTTGCATTTCCTCTTTAGATAAATGTGTATTCTGCTGCCCATATTTTCATCAGATCATTTGGCTTTTTGTTGTTGGAGCTATAAAAAACATAAAAATATATCCATAGTATATAGTATAACTACATTGTGGGATTTCTATGTATAGTTGTAGGAGTTCTCTATATATCCAGAATTTCAATCTCTATCAGATATCTCATTTACAATTTTTTCCCTTCATTCTGTTTACTCTCTTGATATTGTCCTTTGATGCACAAAAGTCCTTAGTGAGCAGATCCCATGTTTAAAAGTTACTTTTAAAATTCTCTAGAAATAGTATGATCCCCAGTATCAGGCATCTGCTGGTGATGTTGGAAAAGAAATTAAAACTTTATCCCACATCATTTTTCTTTCTTTCTTATTTATTGTGTGTGTTTTTCTTTTCATATGAAGGTTCCTGACTGGTTTTGCTTCCATGAATGGCCACAACCAGGGGTGAGGGACGGGAGGCTGGCGGCATGGGGAGGGGTCTTCTCCACAACATTCCATTTACACACAGAACTAAACAGACAAGCACAGAGTCACTATTGTGGTTAGAAGTTTGCAGCACGGGAGAGGGGATGGTCAGGTGGGGGTTGGAATGTCATTTAAAAAAATACAGGTCCCTGATCTCCCTGGTGGCGCAAGGGGTTAAGATGCAACTATGAAGCTATTCGCAGCCACTGCAGCATGAGTTCAATCCCTGGCACCAGGTTGCTACCCACATGGCACAGCAGACCTCCTGACTCGCCCGCTGCTCGCCTCAGCAGTGTATTTCTGTCAATCTGCCTGTTCTGTTCCCCCTCTGTCTCTGGTGAATCCTCTCACCCCCCACACCTCTGGCCTGTATCCCAGTTCTTGTATGCATAAATAAATCTTAAAAAAATACAGGTCCCTCCAACAGGGGTACAGGGTGGGGCATGGTCTACTTTAACTCGAGGAATCAGAAGATCAAAAGCAGCTTGGGAAGGCCATATTAAGTTTCAAAGAAGTGTTTTCAAATAGGAATTTCATAGAAATTTAAAGTATCTTTAGCCCAATGCCAATGAACTGACACTACTAAAATTTCTATGGTATCTTTCATAATATTTATATAATATATGTAATATTAATGATTTCCTTCCTTGCTCCTTGCTTTTGTATGAATGAAAGTATAGGGCAGGGACTGACTGTGTGTAGGGAGAAGATTCAGGGACATCTTCATAGAAGAGATATTTGATTTGTGGAATGAACATCTGCCGGGGGAAGAGGAGCAGTATAGGACAAAGGAAAAGTATGTGTAAGGTCCTTCTATCTTAACTGAAGCAAAGATTTTATTAGGTTGTCAGAAAAGTCATGACGTATTTTTTCTAAGTTTTCTGTATAAAAAGTCATCATGACTTTTCTGACAACAAGTATATGTACAATGTTTTAATTATTGTAGTAAGAATTTGGACTTGACCCTCTCCTTTCCCTTGTGCCTTTAGTTACGCTTGCCTATTCATCTACTCATTCAGAAAATATTTATTTAGCAGATACCGTGTGCTAAGTTCTGGAGAAATAGTCCTGAACATCTAAAAGTCTTCTGTTGCCATAGGGTTCAGACTTTAATTTGGAGGAGATATAATTAATAATAAACATGTAATATATGATATGTCAGAAACTGATAAAGAGTAAAATAGGGTATAATGAGTGTCAGCAGAAGTAGTGGTGATACTTGCTATTTGGTGATGGTGGGAGTAATCAGAAAGGCTTCTCAGTGTTACAGGAACAGTGGCTGCCTGGGGGCAGTGTGTCAGGCTGAGGGAATAGCAAGTTCAGAGGCCCTACAGAGATAAAACAGAGTTAGGACATAGTGGGAATAATAGAACATTTGGTGTTCTATTATTATTCTGAAGGAAACACCTTCAGGTTTATATATTAGTTAGATCACTGAAAGCAGAGTATTGTGGAAAATGGATCATGGAGATACATGTGAGGATGGGTGTTTTGAAGAAATTAGGAAATTTGAATAAAAGCCCTGACAATTTCCATAGGTGTTTAGAAGGTAGAAGTTAACAGAAATTGGTGACTGGATGTGGAAAGCAAAGTTGAACAAGAATTCAGCTTAGATTTCTGACATAGAAAAACAAAAATGAAGGTTGGTCCTATCAAAAAAGATAGGAAATAAATTAGGAAGAACCTAATTTCCCATTTTCACAGGACAGGAAAAGAAGACCAGAAAAGCATGGTGAGAAAATTGCTTCAGTTTTGGGCATGTTGAGTTTGTGGTATTTGGGAGCCGTCCAGGTGAACATAACCAAGTGATGATATAAGTGTAGCTGGAACTTAAGAGTGGGGGCTGGGAGGAAGTGTGGGCTAGGGATGTGGATTTGAAAATCATTAGCATATAGAAGGGATAGTTAAAACCACTGGATTTGTTTTTCCTGAAGGTATTATATATAAATGTTGCTTATGTTTTAAAATCCAAAATTTCTGTAATCTGCTATGTTCATCTCACTTTTGTAACTTGTAGATGAGGCTTTAGAAAGTACATCCTCATATGTATTTTCCTTTGTGGCAATCCAGGAAAATTTAAACCTAGCGTTGAATTCTGCCTCTGCCATTGGCTGTACTGTGGTCAACATTGGCGCACAGGATCTGAAAGAAGGAAAGCCTCACTTGGTCTTGGGACTTCTCTGGCAGATCATCAAAGTTGGCCTTTTTGCTGACATTGAGATTTCCAGGAATGAAGGTAAGATCATTAAAAATACTTACTCTTTATGGACAATATCCTCAACATGGGAAGGATTTATTTTCATTCTCTTTCTCAGCTCTGATTGCATTGCTGAATGAAGGTGAGGAACTTGAGGAGCTGATGAAGCTTTCTCCTGAGGAATTACTGCTGCGATGGGTCAACTACCATCTGACCAATGCGGGATGGCGTACCATTAGCAACTTCAGCCAAGACATTAAGGTTTATATTTTAATCTTCAAATTAGTGAAATGAAATAAAGAGGTAGAATGTGAAAAACAGAAGCGGTTCAAATTTATTTATTTTTTTTTAAATAATAAATTTTATTTTTATATTCCCCCATACAATTGCAAACGCCCCATTCTGACCCCAATCCTTCCCCTCCCACCCCCCACCCCCCAAAAAGTGTCTCTGGTTCATAGTTTTTTGTTGATTTTGATTTTCACTTTCTTATATTCATTTTCCTGGTCCCTTATTTAAGTTTTCTAGATTCCTGCTATGAGTGAGACCATCCGGTATTTTTCTTTTTCATTTTGGCTTATTTTGCTGAGCATGATCCCTTCCAGCGCCATCCATGTTGCTGCAAATTGCATGTGTTTATCTTTTTTGAATGCTGAGTAATATTCCATGGTATATATGTACCACATCTTCTTGATCCAGTCATCTATTTTTGGGCATTTGGGTTGTTTCCAAAGCTTAGCTATTGTAAACAGTGCTGCTATAAACATAGGGGTGCAGGTGCTCTTTGGAATTGATGTTTCTGTGTCCTTTGGGTAAATCCCTAGGAGTGGAATTGCTGGATCATATGGAAGCTCTATGTTTAGTAGGTCCAGAAATCTCCACACAGCTCTCCATAGTGGTTGGACCAGTTTGCACTCCCACCAACAGTGCAGAAGAGTTCCTTTTTCTCCACACCCTCGCCAACATTTGTTGTTGCTAGTTTTTTTAATATGTGCCATTCTCACTGGTGTGAGATGGTATCTCATGGTAGTTTTGATTTGCATTTCCCTGATTACAAGTGATGTTGAACATTTTTTCATATGTCTGTTGGCCATTTGCATTTCCTCTTCAGAGAAGTTTCTTTTTAGCTCTTCTGCCCATTTTTTGACTGGATTATTTTCTTTGTTGTTGCTGAGTCTCATCAGCTCTTTGCAGATTTTTGTGATCAGTCCTTTATCATTAGTGTTGGGTGCAAAAATGTTCTCCCATGGTGGGGTTTCTCTTTGTTTTTGTTATTGTCTCTTTTGCTGTGCAGAAGCTCTTTAATTTGATGTAGTCCCAGCTGTTTATCTTTGCCTTCACTATCACTGCTTTGGGTGATGTGTCTGTAAAGATGTCTTTGATGTGCAAATCCCGTAGTGTTTCGCCTATATTTCCTTCTATGTATTTTATGGTTTCAGGTCTTATGTCTAGTTCTTTAATCCATTTTGAGTTGATTTTTGTGTATGGTGTGAGGTAGTGGTCAAGCTTCATTCTTTTGCATGTAGCGACCCAGTTTTCCCAGCACCATTTATTGAACAAACTTTCTTTGCTCCAATGCGTAGTCTTAGCTCCTTTGTCAAAGATTAGTTGACCATAAATCTGTGGGTTTATTTCTGGATTTTCTATTCGATTCCATTGGTCTGTATGTCTGTTCTTGTTCCAATACCATGCAGTTTTGATGATTATGGCTTTGTAGTAGAGTTTGAAGTCTGGGAGTGTGATGCCTCCATTTCCTTCTTTTTTTTTCAGTAGAGCTTTGGCTATTCGGGGTTTTTGGTGATTCCATATGAATTTCATCAATAATTGTTCTATTTCTTTGAGGAATGCCATTGAGATTTTGATTGGAATAGCATTGAATCTGTATATTGCTTTTGGTAGGATGGCCATTTTAATAATGTTTATTCTTCCAATCCATGAGCAGGGGATGTCTTTCCATTTCTTTGTGTCTTCTTCTATTTCTTTTAACAGTGTTTTATAGTTTTCTTTGTATAGGTCCTTTACCTCTTTTGTTAGATTTATTCCCAAATATTTGATTTTTTTTGTTTCGATAATAAAAGGGGTGGTTTTTTTGATTTTTTCTTCTTCAGATTTATTGTTTGTTTATAGGAAGGCTACTGACTTTTGCGTGTTGATTTTGTATCCTGCCACTTTACTGAATTGATTGATGAGTTGAATTAGTTTTTCTGTGGAGATTTTGGGGTTCTCTATGTATATTATCGTATCATCTGCAAATAGTGATAGTTTGACTTCTTCTTTTCCTATGTGGATTCCTTGGATGTCTTTCTCTTGTCTTATTGCTCTGGCTAGGACTTCCAGTATTATATTGAAAAGCAGTGGTGAGAGTGGACATCCTTGTCTTGTTCCAGATCTTAATGGAATTGCTTTCAGCTTTTCACCATTGAGAATGATACTGGCTGTTGGCTTGTCATAGATGGCCTTTATGATGTTGAGGTACGTTCCTTGTATCCCAAGAATTTCAAGGGCTTTTATCATGAATGGGTGTTGCACTTTGTCGAAAGCTTTCTCAGCATCTATTGATATTATCATATGGTTTTATATTTCTTTTTGTTGATGTGTTGGATAACGTTGATTGATTTTCGGATGTTAAACCATCCTTGTGCCCCTGGAATGAATCCAACTTGGTCGTGGTGAATTATCTTATGGATACATTGTTGGATTCTGATAGCTAAAATTTTATTGAGGATTTTTGCATCAGTGTTCATTAGGGAGATTGGCCTATAGTTTTCCTTTTTTGTGTTGTCCTTATTCGGTTTTGGTATTAGTGTAATATTGGCTTCATAGAACGTGTTTGGTATTGTCCCTTCCTTCTCAATTTTTTGGAAGAGTTTGTGAAGGATAGGCACTAATTCGTCTCTGAATGTTTGATAGAATTCATTTGTAAATCCATCAGGTCCTGGGCTTTTGTTTTTGGGGAGGTTTTTGATTACCATTTCAATTTCGCTGCTTGTAATTGGTCTGTTTAGGTGTTCTATTTCTTTTTTATCTAGCTTTGGGTGATTGTAGAGTTGTAGGAATTTGTCCATCTCCTCTAGATTGTTGAACTTGTTTCCATATAACTGTTCATAGTAGTTACTGATTATTCTTTTGATTTCTGCTGTGTCCGTTGTGATTTCTCCGCTTTCATTTATGATCCTGTGTATTTGTGCTTTCTCCCTTTTTTCCTTTGTGAGCCTGGCTAGGGGTTTGTCTATTTTATTTATTTTTTCAAAGAACCAGCTCTTGGTTTCATTGATCTTTTGGATTGTTTTTTTAGTTTCAATTTCATTTATTTCTGCTTTGGTTTTTATTATTTCTTTTCTTCTACTGGTTTTGGGGTTTTTTGTTGTTCTTTTTCTAGATCTTTGAGCTTCGAGATTAGGTTGTTTCTTTGAGTTCTTTCTTGTTTTTTGATGTGAGCTTCTATTGCTATATATTTTCCTCTTATTACTGCTTTTGCTGCATCCCATACATTTAGGATATTGGTGTCCTCCTTGTCATTCAATTCAAAGAATTTTTTAATTTCTTCTTTGACCTCCTCGTTAGTCCAGTGGTCTTCCAGTAGTGTGGTTTTTAATCTCCATGAGGTAGGATAGTTCCTTGCCTTCTTTTTATGATTTATTTCTAGTTTGATGCCTTCATGGTCAGAAAAGATGGTTGGTATGATTTCAATCTTGGTGTATCTGTTGATGTTTGTCTTGTGCCCCAGTATGTGATCGATCCTGGAGAATGATCCGTGTGCGCTTGAGAAAAATGTGTACTCCGTTTTTTTTGGGTTTAGTGTTCTATAGATGTCTGTTAAGCCCAAATGCTCTAGGTCCTTATTTAGAGCTTTAGTTTCTTTACTTATTTTTTGTCTTGTTGATCTATCCATTGTTGATAGTGGTGTGTTGAAGTCTCCACGACGTATGTGTTTTCTCTGATGTCTGTTTTCAGAGAGGACAACAGTTGTCTGATATATTTTGGTGCTCTTTCGTTTGGTGAGTATATGTTAATGAGTGTTATTTCTTCTTGAAGTATTGTCCCCTTAATCATAATGTAGTGACCATTGGGGTCTCTTTTTATTTTTTTGAGTTTGAAGTCTGTTTTATCTGATATAAGTATAGCTGTTCCTGCTTTCTTTTTTGGCCCATTTGCTTGTAGGATTGTTTTCCATACTTTGACTTTGAGCCTATTTTTATCTTTTGTAGCTAAATGTGTTTCCTGGAGACAGCAAAAGGTTGGGTTTTGTTTCTTAATCCAGGCTGCAACTCTGTGTCTTTTTATTGAAGAGTTTAGTCCATTTACATTTAGAGTTAATATTGATATGTTAGCATCTGTATTTGCCATTATGTTTGTCTTTCCTTTGATTTTATTTATTTATTCTTTTAATAACTTTTTTTTTTTTTTTGGTCTTCTTTCGTTGTTATTCGTCCCTCTGAGGTTCTGGCTTTAGGATTCCTTGTAGTATTTTTTGGAGTGGGGGTTTATTCGTAATGAAATTCCGGAGTTTCTCTTTGTCTGGGAAGGTCCATATTCTTTCTTCATGGAGGAAAGAGATCTTTGCGGGATAGAGTATTCTTGGTTGGCATCTGTTTTCTTGGAGTCTGTTGACTATGTCCCTCCACTCTCTCCTTGCCCGTAGTGTTTCTTCAGAGAAGTCTGATGTCAGCCTGATTGGTTTTCCTTTGAATGTTATCTGTTTCTTCCCTCTTGTCAGCTTCATTATTTTTTTCTTGTCCTGGATTCTTGGGAGCTTTACTATTATGTGTCTTGCTGTGTTTTTCCTTTCGTCGTGGAAGTTTGGTGTTCTTCTTGCTTCTTGTATATCAATTTTCAGCTCGTTCTTCGCATTTAGGAAGTTCTCTTCAATTATCTCCTGGAATATTTTCTCTGTTCCTACATCTCTCTCCTCTCCTTCTGGAATTCCTATAACTCTTATATTTCCTTTCCTCATGGAGTCAGATAGTTCCCGAAGTCTTTCTTCATTCTTTTTCCTTTGTACTTCTCTTTCCTTTTCTGTTTTGGTTCTTTTTATTTCTGTGTCTTCAAGAGTACTTATTCGTTCTTCCATTTCATCTATTCTGCTTTCATTGCTTTTCCCAGAGTTCTTTAGTTCCTCCATTAATTCTTTGATCTCCTGCATTTCTTTTACTTCCCTCTTTAGGGACTCTATTTCCTTCTTCTGATCTATCACTTTTTAAATCATGGCAATTTTAAATTCTCTTTCTGGAAGGCTCAGAAGTTCTTCCAAGTTGCTGTCGTTGCAATCTGGGGAGTGGTTTTCTTTTTGTGGTGTGCTTCTTTCCTGAGGAGTTGTTAGGTTGCGTGTGGTTCTTCTACTCCCTACTGTCTGTTTTCTAATTTGTCGTATGCGTTGGGACACTGTGTTGGTCGGACTGACTGGCATCTTGGGTGAACTTCGCTCCCCTCTGGCTCTTCCAGGAGCCATCTCTGTCTTCTGAGGGAGCTTTCTGCTGATTTTAGGCAGTTTTTACTGAAGAAATGTCCCTGTTCTAAAATGGCGAAGCGGGATGCAGTCCCTGCGCCTCCGGTTTCAGGCACACTCTTCTACGCCCCTGGTCTGCCCCGGATGTGGGTGCCTGCTCCCTCTGTGGGCTCAGACTGCTGGTCGGAAGGGGCCTGGCATGGGGTGGGCTAACTTCCCGGCTGGCCACTGGGTCCTCCAGAGGCCTTCTGCCCTTTTCAAGCAGTCTTAAGAAATTTCCTGTTCTATGGGGTGTTAGTGACTTTTTTCCTGGTCGCTAGGTGGCGCCAGAGATCTCTCCTATTGTCCTTGGGGGGCTGTTTTTCGCCCCCCCCCCCGTGGGACAGGGAACAGAGCGGGAATGGTAGGGTAAACCTCAACAGCTTTGGGGTGCTGTGTCTGCCTTGTGCCCCACCGTCGTGGAGAACCCACGCCCCGAATTTTCGTGCCCCGGGTCTCAGTTCAAAGCCCTCAGGTCCAGGACGCGGGCTGTAGCCCAGTTCAGTGGCGCGGGAATGGCGCCTTTTGCACCCCGCTCCCGTGCCTGGGCGCCTGGTTCCTGCTCACTCAGGGAGGGACTTTCACCCCCGTGAGGACCTCCGCGCGTCTCCCTGCAAGCCTAGGTCGCAGGCGCGGGGACCTGGGCAGCCGGGATCCCGGTCCGCGTTTTCTTTTCAAGCGCCAAGCGCGCCGCTTTCCCGCGCAAGCTTACCGGCAGCCCGGGCTGTGTGCGTGTCTCCCGGGGTCTTTGTTCTTCTCTAATGGCGCCCGGAGCCGTTTGCTCACCGCCGCCGCGGATCCTGCAGGGTTCTCCACAGCTCCCGTTCACGGGGTGTGGTGGCTGCAGTAGTTCCTTTCCACTCACAGTCCCGCTTGCTGCGTCGTTTGTTCTTGTTGGTCGTTTTGGTTTGTTGTTTTCCTCCTCTCTGCTGGTGGGAGAGTGCCCTCGGTTCAAATTTAAATTTGTATTGAAGTTAAATTCCCAAGGATATAGTATAGGCAATGAAATTTTGAATTTCCTAGTTGAGGTGGATCCCCTGATTTTTTTATAAATCACAAAATTTTTTATAAATAATAAACCAATTTACTGACTTTTAATAAATTCATGACTATGAGAGGAAGGGGCTGCTAACCTTAGCAGAGTAAACATTTTTTCCCATTTTATGTGCCACAAATTGACTAAATTATAATGCTATGAAACTGTTAATTTGGACTGACTCCATCTATTGGGCTAGAGGCCCTGTGGGCCTACCAGTTCAACATTCTAAATCCCACTTTGCCAATAACTAGCTAATAAGAATCCAAATTATCTGAGGGCACAGGAATTGATAAACAAAGGGAACTTTTAAGGTATGTTTCTCATCCAAAGTGACTTGAAGTATTTCCTTCCCTAAGGGGAGGGTCTTGTCAGACTGCAGTGTAATGTTCAATCTTCATAACACTTCTGTGGTCACTACTGAGAAAACTTGGGTCCCTTGGGATTTTTCTTCTCTATGGATTTTTTCCCAAATGAATCAGATTTGACACTAATTAATATATTCTCTTAGATATTTTAAAACCGTCATTCAGGATTTTTTTTTTTTTTTTGTCATAATAGCCTAGATGATAACTAGTATCTTTAAAATGATGCTGCTTTTCTTTGTTTTCATTTTGATAGCCCTCATATAAAAGTGGATTTGGGTGTGTTCTCATATTTTAAAATTCTGTTCAAACCCCTCTGTGGGGCATTATGCCAGGCACGGGGTATGCAAAAATCTAGTTTTTGAGAAGTGTGCCAATTACACAGGGAGATAAACATCTAGTAAATAGACATGTCAGTTATCTATTACTGTATAACAAACCACTCAGTGTAATAACTTAAAATAATAGTTTATTGTGTCTCAAATCTGTGGATTAGCCACCAACACTTGGATGGGTGGTTCTGATGGTTTCGGTTAACTTCACTAATTCAGCCACATTCAGCTGTCAGTGGAACTGGTCTGGAAGATACATTCATGTGTCAGGTGCCTCTCTGCTTCTCCCCACGAGGCCTTTCCACATGGCAAATTTGGGCTCCCTCACAGCATGGTACTCTCAGGTAGTTGGACTTACAAGGATGCCAACATCAAGAGGGAGCAGAACCGCTTAAGAATTGGACTCAGAAGCCCCAGATCACCACTTTCACATTCAATGGGTCAAAGCAAGCCACAAGGCCAGTCTAAATTAAAGGGGAGTAGAAATAGACTATGTGTTTTGATGGAAAAATCTACCTATATATAATGGGAAAAATAATAGCTATATTTAGAGACAGCTTCACTGGATAACTTAATACAGTGTAGTCACAGTTTTTTTTTTTTTTTTTTTTTTTGAGGTAGGCATGTATTGCTGTGCAATATAAGGGAGGGCCCTTAATTCATTCTAGTATATGTGCTGCCGAAGCGAGCACGCCCTTAATTCGTTCTAGATTAACTAGGGAATGCTTCCAAATGATTCTGATGCTTGGGAATGTAAACAAACGAGAAAGTTAAGGATGGATAATTCCAGGTGTAGGGAAGAGTGTGGCCCAAAGCTCTGAGGTCTGAGACAGAATAGTGCATTTAGGAGTTGACAAGCAGTCAGTAAAGTAATTAAATTATTATTCCATTCTTTGACAAGGACATTTTTTTGCTTTGGTTTGAACACTTTCCCCCCTTAATTTAATGATTTTATTCATTTTTAAGATGCTATTTCATTTCTTTCCCTGAAGGATTCAAGAGCCTATTTCCATCTGCTAAATCAGATTGCACCTAACGGTGAGCGGGGTGATGGGCCTGCCATTGCCATTGACCTTTCAGGATTTAACGTGAGTACAGTTTTGTTTTGTTTTTTTAATTTTTTTAGAACTGTTTTTTTCCTCTCAAGATTTATTTATTCATGCATGCAAGAACTGGGGTACAGGCCAGATGTGTGGAAGGGTGAGAGGATTCACCAGAGACAAAGTGGGGGACAGAGCAGGCAGACTGAAACACACTGCTGAGGGGAGCAGCGGGCGACACAGGAGAGGTCTGCCTCGCCATGTGGGAATCTTGCCGGCCAGCTGGGCTTGAACTTGTGCTGCAGAGACTGTGGACAGCTTCACAGCACTGCATTCAACCGCCTGTACCACCAGGGAGGCCCTGAGTACAGTTCTTAATTAAAGTTGTTTTGGATAATTTGGATAAAATATACATAACATTTACTCTTCTAACCATTTTTAAGTGTACAGTAGAATTAAGTACATTTGCATTGTATGCAACCATCACACTGATCCATCTCTATAACTTATTTCATCCCATACCACCTCCCTGTACCCATTAAACAATTATTTCTGATTCCTTCTTCCTCTAAGCCTCTAGTGACCACTGTTCTACTTTCTATCTCTGTGAATTTGACTAGTGAGCACAATCAAGTTTAGAGGGCAATACTTTTTAGGCAGAATACCCTACTGGAGTCCTCAGCCCTTCATCAAAGGTTTATCCTTTATACTTCAGAAGATTTTTCATGCTCTTAAAATCCAGATCGCCATGCTAAACATCTGACAGGTATGACTGAAAAAAAGGGAATTACAGAATTCTGATTATGAGTATGTGTGAAATCAAAGCTTCCATCACACTCTACCTGGGTCTATATAACAGGAACCCACCAGGGTGCTTTTGTTACTCAGCTGTTTACTAGGAAGGGAAACAATAAGCTATTATAATAGATTGCTAAGCAATTATCAGTTCTGTTAGATTAGGAGATGTACTTAAAATGCAATATTGATTATACTTAGTATTAAAGGCAACTTATTGCTAATTATATTTCACATTATTATAATGAAACATCTAAGAATCAGCATTATAAAACTATGTAAATATTTGTAAATTATTTGAATCAGAAAATTAGGAATTTAAAAACTTAGTTCTTTGTGTATGTGTTACTTGGTTTTATTTTACACTAAGAGATGGGCTCAAAGCTTGATTAATTTGACAGTTAAGTTGACTGTTCCTTAATGAAGCTGACAATTGGCTTCTCTCATAACATTTTAATAATGTACCTTAAAAAAAGTATTCATCTTACAAGTTTTTCTGAAACCCAAATATATAATAACTTGAAAAACAACATTTAGAAAACAAAAGCCACTGTAAAAAGGTTAAAACAACTAGAACAGTACAAGTTTTATATGGCTCTAGTTTTACAGTTTTCTTGCTGCATCATCAATGTCAGAAATCAGTTCTTCAGAACTACCTTTTCTTCCTGGTTTCATTTTACCCTCTGGATCTTTGCAGTGATTTCTAATATCAATTAGGATTTTCCCTTTAAAGTCTGAACACTGATGTATCATCTTTTCCCGATCTGGAACATGTTGTTTGCTGCCTCTGCTCTACTTAGAGGACAAGAAGGCTCTTGAAGTTTCACCAGGCTTTTGCTTCTCTACAGATTTTTCTGGAATAACCTGCTTTTGCTTCTTTAACTTTTTGCCCACTTCATTGTCACAATTACAGACAAAAGAGCTTGAAGAAATAAATCCCACTGACGTAGGCTTTGCTCCACTTTGTGGCCAAGCAACTTTTAGCTTGCTAGTTCACTACTCAAAATTATTTCAAAAGTATTTCAAAACTGAACAGACTCTAGTATATTGAAATACTGTGCTTTTTCCCTCCAGGTTCAACAAGTAGCAGCTTATCTTTTTAATTTGTCATCTACCTATTTCCCTTCTCTCCCATATTCATTTGAAGCAAACCCTAGACAGCATATTGTTTCATCAATAAATCTTTCAATATGTACTTCTAGAAGAGAGATACTTTTGAAATATAACCAGATTACCTTATTATACCAAAAATTAATCTATAAAATCAAAATAACTTATCAATGTTGACATTTTCAATTTGCTTCATGCATGTCAATTTTTTTGTAGTTTATTTGCTTTAAGATCTAAATAAGGCTTACATATTATAATTTGTTCATGTCTACCCTAGATCTGTTTTCTTTTTGCTACTTAATAACACCAAACCTACCACTTTCTGTGATTTCATTTACATTTTTACTTTTTTGCAATTCTGGTATATCACTCCTGCATAAACCCTCAAGTAAAGCACTTGGTGTTAATTTGCATTTCGCTGTGCAGTTCTTCCCTGTCCTGTCTCTGCCTCATCTTAATGTGCAACTACCGTCTTGAAACTTATATTCATTATTCTTTTGCTTTTCTGTTTATATAGTATTTTAAAACAATTATATTGCTTATAAATTAATTTTTACTTTTAAACAATATTTGTCATGTAATTAAATTTCTAGTTTTTATTTTAAACATGCTTTTATAATGGTCACTCACTGTATAACTGTGGATATAATGGGGTACCATTTACTAAGGTTAAAAATGAATCCTCCATTCCTTGCCCAGCAGGCAGGCTTCAATACATAAAGAAATTTATAAGGTTGTCTTGGGGACAAGGCTGTAGTACTAATCACCATGACCAGAACAACCAGCCCAGCTCCAGGAATGCAGAAGCAGAGATCAATTGCAGATGTCAGTTTGACCCTGCAAATGAGAGTGTTTTGTAGTTCTATTTTGTAAATCAGCAACTAAGATTTTACTTCTAAGATTGCTTTAGTTGTCTGCAACTAAAGCAGTCCCCCCAGCAGATAACTGGTGCAAGCTGGTGCCCCAAGTTAGAAAGCCCATGAGAAACTCATGGGCTTCACACGCAGACTTCTCCCATCTGGCCCCCTGCTCCCTTGCAGGGTATTCCAATAAATCCACCTTTTCTTTTTTTCTTTTTTTTTTTTTTTAAACTTTTTTTTTTTTTTATAGAGGCATGTTTTTATTTATTTATTTATTTGTTCGTTTGTTTCGTTTATACATGCACTGGGTACAGTCAGAAGCGCGGGAGGGTGAGAGAATTCACCAGAGCCAGAGCAGGGAGCAGAGCAGGCAGAAGGACCGAAGTACACCGCTGAGGGGAGCAGCGGGCGGCAGGAGAGGTCTGCGCACCATGTGGGACCCTCCTCTGGTGGCCGGGGAGCAGCCGGGAATCGAACCGGCGCTGCAGAGGCTGCGGGCAGCTTCGCAACCCAGCGCTCAACCGCTGCGCCACCGGGGAGGCCCTAAATCCACCTTTTCTGTTCTCCACTCTGTCTCTGGGAAATTCTTTCTCTCTCTCACACACACACAGACACACACACACAAACACACCTTCCCTTTGTGCCTCTGGCCTCACCCTGATACTTTTCTTTCACACACACACACACACACACACACACACCTTCCTTTTATGCTCGGGCCTCACCCCAATACTTCTCCCCACTACATGTAACACAATTTTTTCTTCTCTTGTCATGTCAATAAGCCTTTGGTTTATTTCCAGAGTTTCACAGTTGTGAAAAGTGCTGTTCCTTTGGATTTTAATATTTTTAATTTGTATTCCCAACTTACTAAGCCTCTTAACCAGAAAGCATTCTGATATATGGCCTTGAACAAGTTACCTATACTTTGACATGTAGATTTTGATGTAATATTTGAGAATTTTGTTGAGTATTGATTGCAGCAATGAAGGTGAAATAATACTCTGATTCCAGCAAGAAAACAAGAGACTTGTTCTTATATATTTAAAAGATATCATTTGATTTGGAATTCCTGCATATCTGACCTTATTTTGAGCTACTATATATTTCTAGGAAAGTAATTGCATATCAATATATGTAGTAATAAAAAGTTATGGCAATCAAAAGTTTAACCTTGACTTTTATTTCATTGTTTAGGAGAAAAATGACATGAAGCGTGCAGGATACATGCTTCAGGAAGCAGATAAACTGGGCTGCCGACAGTTTGTTACTCCTGCAGATGTGGTTTCAGGCAATCCTAAACTTAATTTAGCTTTTGTAGCTAATCTGTTTAACACATATCCAGGCCTACACAAGCCTAATAATAATGACATCGATATGAATTTGTTGGAAGGTATGTATTTTTTTTATGGTGTGTCTTATTTCACTGTCAGAGGTAGAGGGATTGTGGTGGGAGATATACATTCTTGTGTGAAGTAATGTGTATGTGAATCCATTAAAAAGTTCAAATTAAATAGAGCAGTAATTGGTTTTGATTAAAAGGGAATGCTGGGTAAATCTTACTTCTCTGTCATTTTTCCATAGGAGTTTAATGAAAAGTATCATACATTTAAATATTCTTAAAATGGCCATATCACATAACTCCACCACCATTATGGACAATTAATTAGCTATTGGAAAAAAATAATTATTTATAGCTTCTTTTTTCTCTTTTGAAAGCTGCAGTTTGACTCTAGCATTGTTCTCTTTCTAATGTTTTTAGTACACATGAAAAAAATTACAATATTCATTACTTGTTCGTGTGTGGGCTATTGTTATCTGTCTCATAATTTATAATACTTTCCTATTTTGCTTCATGAAATGCAGATTTGACCCCTCCTAATGTAGGTACTGTATTTAGTACTTTTCTATACTCTAAATATATTCATTCTGAATTTTTTTTTTTTTTAGTGTCATTTCTATTTTGGTTGAATTTTTTTTTGCATTGTTCATGCTGTGTTTTTTTTCTGTCTTAATATGCCTAAAGAATGAATGACACGAAATACAAATGAGACTCAATTAGAATAGCAGAGCAAGACTTTGATTATGTAAACTCTCCACCTAATTTTGACAATTGGATTTTATGATTTGATGTAAAGCCTTTATCCCTATCTGTGAATAAACAAACTTACCTTTTATTACAAATAATGTTTGAAAGGATCCTCTTAGCTTTTATAACAGATAATTTTGTATTACCTAGCTATGTTACATTTACTGAATGTTATTGAAGTTTACAATATATAAATCATCACTCTGATTAAAAATATTCTCAATACAGTATGTAGTTCTTTCTCCTTACCTGTTTCCCACCCTTCTTTTCTTCTCTCATCCTCACACTTTCATTCATATGTACACCAAAAACCTCTTAGTATCAGAATTAAAAGAAAAACTTTTGTCGGAAAGGAGCCAACACTAAAATACTCTTGTTATTTGTCCGGGTTTGAGGAAGATAGTCTTCAAGCAGGGATTCTCCTTGGTGGGGAAAATTTGATGTTGCTGTGTTCATTTTCTCACATCACCCACCATATTTCCTTCTTCCCCAGTGAAACAGAATGAGAAATAAGGTTCATGTTCTTTTTCTTTTTGATCGCCACAACCAGAGTTTCAGTGTCCTTGTAACTATGTAATTATAGGTTTTTGATTAATGACAAAATTTTCAGATTTAACAAATATGTTCTTGGAGGAATATGATTCATTGAATTCATTCTTCTGTATATAGAAAAGTAACTGAGAGGGCAGATAGACAAAAATGTAAATTTTTCAGCAGAAAAATTTAGGGTGAAGGATTAGGATTTTTAAAGAATTTAATAAAAGAAAGACTGCTAAGTTTTTAGTCAGCCTGGAAAATTTCAAAATCTCCTTGTGTCTTACAGAAGAAGGCATTGTTTAGAGTGGCATATTAAAAATGATCTGCTTTTTATAGTCACTGAATTCTTGCTAGATATCTTTCCCAACCTGCTCTCCTATTTGTCACGTTTGAATTCTTTTGCTAGTATCCAGCATGCATTTGGAATTTTTTCAGTGTGAGTAGGATTGCTAAATATTTCCATTAGTATTTACTATACTTACCTAAGAAGCTGCTATGGGAAATATTTATCATTCATCTTTACTTAGAACATATGTATGTCCTGCAACATCTGTCAAAATTGTATTCAACTTTGTCATTGGAATTTTTTCCTCTGTAAATTTGTGGTTTTATAAATTCTTAATGAAATTTGAAGCTTGGCCTTATCACATTCTATATACGTATATTAGTATGTACTACTGGCAAAGAATTGTATCTACATGGAATTAAAGGAAATTAAAAGTCCATTTAATTAAAGACCGTATCGAACCTTTGTATTAAATTGAGCCAAATATTAGCCAAGTGGCAGTCTATAAAGGGACTATCTCAGAATACATATGACGATAGAAAGTAATAGGTCACAGAATTACAAAGACTGTTCAAATCATGATACTGCCATTTAATATCTGAGTGATTTCTGTGAGTCTTTGTTTTCTCACTTATAAAATGGGACTAATAATAATTATTTTGAAAAAGTTAGAAAGTTAGTTAAAATGACCTTTCTTGAATGAAAGAGTTTAGCATACAATATGTGCTCAGTAACGGTCAGGTTAGGAAGAGGGTCGCACTTAATACATCACTTAGCACTTAGTGAGTATTAAATATATGTTCATTTTATTTCTTCTTAGTAGCCTACTATAAATATGCACCATATTTTCTGAAATGTATCAATTGCAGATGTCAGTTTGACCCTGCAAATGAGAGTGTTTTGTAGTTCTATCTTGTAAATCAGCAACTAAGATTTTACTTCTAAGATTGCTTTAGTTGTCTGCAATCTAGACATTTCTAATCTGATATACATATGTTTTTGTAATGCTTTTTCATAACTCTTGCACAAATGCATAGTGTTCCTGGCTTTGAGCATTTATTTACCAAAACAACATAAAATGTCATTAGATAGAAAAATGTTCACTTATAGAATCGATTTTACTTTCCAAGCATCAAAATTAAATAATTATGTAATTAGTTGAGAACAGTAGGAAGAAGCAGCAGACCTCTCCTGTCTTGCCCGCTGCTTCTCTTAGCAGTATACTTTAATAAACCTGCCATTTCTGTTCCCCCCAAAAAGAAAGAAATATGAACCTCTGAAACTTATAAAGCTTCAGAACTCAACCAAAATACAAGTATTTTTAAATAATAATATTTTTTAAAAATATTATTCACTGTACTGTTAGGTTCAGCCTAATTTAGATACTCTTTTCAATTAAAAATTAAACCATTGTTACATTAACAGTGCTTGTAATTTTAAAACACAATTTGGATTTTCCTAGATGGAAATAATATAAAAATCATCTAATTCCTGGAAAAAATTGTATTTATAGCAAAATAGCAGATTTCAATAGAAAACAACTAAAAGGTAAAAACCAAGTCACATGCATCAAACTGTTGATAATAGTATGTTTATATTTATTACAATGTGGTAGTGGCATATACAACAGACTATCAGTTACCTTTTATGCAGACTAGAGGGAACAAAATTTAAGCAAGAAAGTTATATGGCTGTGTAATTAGTAGAATTAAAACAGATTCTGGAGAAGCTATTAGATAATAGCATTGAAAACCATGCGAAAAAACAGTAGAGCATATTATTTCCTGAACAGTTGACACACCAAAAAATAGAATCTGTTAGGTCTCGTAAGATTTTGGGTCCTGTTCTGGGTGTGCATGTTTATACTATCTATAGCATTTAGTCTGATGACTGCAAGGATGCCTCTTTAGGAGTGGGACCCTGGAGTTGAGATGTTTATAGATTTATTTGCCAAATTGTCCTCAGAATCCCACATGAACCAATATCTAGAGAGTGACCTTAACCTGCCTGTGGTTTACAAATGTTGACAGCTGTAAATGTTTCAGTTTTTCAGAATCCTGTGTGGGGGCAGTGTCCCTTCTGTATTTTCAGTAGTGACACTCTTGAAAAAAACAAAACTCAGGAAACCTCTAATATAGTTATATCCTTTCATTGCCTGTTTTATTATTATCTGCAATCCCCTATCCCTTTCTTTGTTGTTTGGTAGAATTAAAATGCAAGCTTCTGTGCTGAGAAACTTTCCCGTCTAAAGCTATAATTTGGACAAATTTAAAAGCTCTGCTTTGAGAAAGGTCCAGCTTTTCTATTTTTAATGTGCTAATATTTCCTGTATTGCTGAAAGATTTGTTGCTAAGTTTTAGCCAATCATTTGCCTATAATAACTACAGATTTGGCCACATAAATTTATCTGTTACTTTTATGGACAGAAACCTATGGCTCATTAGTTCACAGACATCTAAGAAAGGAACTCTAGATGGAGAAATTTTAGAGCAACTGGACTTTTTTTAAGATGGTGGGAAGGACTTTACCAATAATATATTTTTCCTTTTCCCTAAAAAAGATTGTGTCACAAGAATCATGGTATAGTTTGCATGGCCAGTTTATATCCACCAGATGGTTTTAAAATACACTACCTGTTTCCTTTTGTCCTGAATCATAAGTGTGAATTTGTGTCTACTTTAGGAGAGAGCAAGGAAGAGAGAACATTTCGAAACTGGATGAATTCCTTGGGGGTCAACCCATACATTAATCATTTATACAGGTAAATATTTTACTGTGTTTTATCTATGGCCAGCGTCCAACTTTTCATGTTTCAAAGTGTAGTTAAGTGTACATGAGAACATTTTCTAAAGATCACAAAATTTTAGCAAAAATTTGGTTTTTAGAATGCTGAGGATTGGCAATATAATGGATTTTAAAATGAAAAGCAAAGTATTTTAAAAGATGAGGATGTGATAGTTATAATTTTTGATGATGTAAATAAGCAATTTGATAAAGACAACCTTTTATAATTGCTAGGGAAAATATATTATTTTAACTCAGAAGAACATTAATTCTATAAATTTTTGTATCAGTATTTTTCATTATGTCACATTCTTTTTGTACATTTTTACCAAAAATCTCAATTAGCTTATAATTTGTTGTGTGTGTTATTTCCCACTTGTAGAAATAACTTGTTTTCCCAGAACAATGCCAACACATTATTAACACTGTTAGGACTAAGGAAATAATTTACTGAGTCATTTTCTATGCTCTCTTATAGTGCTAACAATGTTTTTCTAGGTGTGGATGAAAACAAACCTTTCTTCTTTATTATAGAATCTACCAGGCTGCCTTGAAAGAATGCAAAGAACTCAACTTTAGCTAATTGTATTATTTTAGGAAAAAATATAATTAATAACCATTATTAATTTACATATAAGGAAACACCTTAGTGATTATTAATGACGTTATGATTTAAATATGAACTAAAGATTAATGCCACAAAAGACCAAGTTCACTGATGGAGGATTTTTAATGTTATTTCTGCTCCTTGATGTATATTCAAAATAATCTTTAAAATTTAAAACAAATATTGCTTTATTATGATAACTAACTTGGATGTATTAGATTCACATTCGATAATCTCTTTAAGAGTGTTTAAATTCCAGTTAAATGACGTCATGTACATCATTTAGACTGAAATTCCCATTACAGTTTCTGGATAGTAAAGGATTCAAATACAGGTGATTCGGAGGGATTAAATCTTTATGGATCAGTTTGAAATAATGTCTATAATATAAATTGAGAGAGAAAAATAATAGATTGTGTGCTCTCATTTATAATTAAAAATTGTGTGTATACATATATGTATGTGAGTTTTTAAAAAATCTGGAGGGAACCATACCAAATTGTATGCAACATAGAGTGGATGGTAATGAGAAAACTTATATTTTTAATCTTAGTAATGTAAATTTTTTTATAATGAGCATTTATTTCTTTTTGAATTAAAAAGTAAATTTAAAACTAGAGGGTTAAGATTTGTTGAGTCATGGTAGCTTCTTCCTTTTCTGTGAATGTTAAGAACATTGGAGTTCTTTATGGTTGATGGCAGAGAAAAGAATGGACCCTTTTTTTTAGTTAAATATTATTTGTGGTTATATAGATCCTGAAATGCTAGCATAGTACTCTAGGCATGCGTAAATTTTTCTTGGGAATAGGAATGTAATGTTCCCTTTTCTTGGGAGAGAGCATTGAGAAAATCCTCAAAAGTAATATAACTTTAAGAAGAACTATCAGATACAGGAAAACAATAGCCAAAGTTCTGGTTGATTTCAGAACCAGGTGTCTATAAATTTGTGTGTGCATAATAGTCTTTAACCTACCCCTGAGTTTTCCATCTACAGTATAAACAAACCAAGGATTAGGGCAATTTAGATTGGCTTTAAATGAAAATTCTCTTTGAAAGTAGTTATTAAATATATTGTAAGAACTATTAAATTAGTCCTAGAATTTTTCAATTAAAAGATGGTTCTAAATGCATCTTGAATTTTTCTGGAAATGATTTCTGGGCCTCGGTTTCCCGATGCTGAAAACATGAATAATAATACCATACTACGTAGAAATGAGAATGACTTCACTGAGAGTAAAAAAGGAAAACTCTTGAAATAGTTGAGATTCTAGAACATATACAAATACTTGTTATTCTTTTTTAAAATTTTCTTGCATAGTTGTTCATTTTTTATTTATTTATTTATGCATACAAGAGCTGGGGTACAGACCAGAGGTGCGGGGGGAAGGTGGGTGGGTGAGAGGATTCACCAGAGACAGAGTGGGAACAGAACAGGCAGACTGATTGAAATAAACTGCTGAGGGGAGCAGTGGGCGAGACAGGCAAGGTCTGCTGCACCATGTGTGTAGCTCCCTGGCCAGCCTGGGATCGAACTTGTGCTTCAGAGGCTAAGGATAGCTTCACAGTGCTGTGCTTAACCCCTTGTGCCACCAGGGAGGCCCTCATAGTTGTTGATTTTTATAAAGTATTTTATTTCTCCACTCATTTGAAGTCCCCATAATTTCCCCAGCCACCTTAGGACCCACGAACCATCACCAGTCCCTTGTGCTCTTCCCTCCCGCTTTGACCCCTCCCCCTCCCCCTTCCCTGCTGTATGCCTCAGATCTATGGTTTGCCTGCAAGTCTTGTCTTTTTCCTGGACCTTTGTTCAGCAATTATTTTTTTAAATACAATATTCTCCATGTACTTATAGATAACCTGGTCAGCTCTTAATTACCTTAGTAGAAGACTTTCTTGCTCCATTTTTCAAACATGGCCCAGCCCCTTTCACTGCTATGCAATATTGCAGCGTAACTCTGATACAAATCTTAGCAAAACATAACTTAGTGGACAAGCTATTTAGGGAGAAAAGCCACATACCATGTGACAGAGCTGGCAATTTTAACATTAGTTGCTATTGCTTTATGTCCTTAGCATATAAGATTGAAACAGATTCTATAGACATACTTTGAGCTTCACACATGGGAATAATTTTTTGTTAATCCAAACCAGTAATATTCTTACTTCACAGATTTCTAGTTGCTTATAAATTCCTTTCTCTTAACCCCCATTATTTAACATGAGTAATTGCTATTGAGTTGATGTTGTGATTTTTGTGTAATTATTCTTTAAAAGTCTATATAAATAATACATGAACTCATTCACACTGTACAAGTTTCAGGAAGTGTGTAAATATGTAGAATAAAATAAGAAAAATTCTTCCCTTACCCCCATATTCCTTTTTCCTGTATAGAGATAGTTGCTATCAACAGTCCATAGTACAGTATTGGTTTTATTTTTATTTTATTTAATATCTAAAATGGTAGGTTTGTTAGGAAAAGGAAAGGAGAAGGTGCTTGTGCAGACACCAGTGGACATAAAGAGATGTGATACAAGTTTTTAAATATTCTTAATTTTTAAAAATAAATTTAACGAATGATAAATTATATGCAGTCTTCTGCCACTTTTTAAAACTTGATATGTCTTGTAAAGCTTTTAATGTTAGTACACACAGATCAATCTTGTGCTGGCCTGGAAGTCCATAGCATGGAAAGTTTATTAAAGTTTATTACTTGCTGGCATTTAGTTTGTTTCTATGTGTATAAATATTGTGTCAGTGGATAGTCTTATATGTCTTTGTAAATCTTTATAAAAAAACTTTGGACAGATTCCTAGGTTGGAGGTTCTGAGTCAAATGATATGACCTTTAAGCATTGAATGACCCTGTTGTGTTTCAGTGCAAATCTAATGTGCTGAAGAAAATTTGATGGTACCATTATTTCCCCCTCCTTCATCTTCTTTTTCTTGTTGTTGTAGTGACCTTGCAGATGCTCTAGTGATTTTTCAGCTCTATGAAATGATCCGCGTGCCAGTCAACTGGAGCCATGTCAACAAACCTCCTTATCCTGCTCTTGGAGGGAACATGAAGAAGGTGAGTGAAATAGTGACCATAGTTAATGCCATTATTGCTCTGATATGAAACATGATTTAGAGTTTCATAAAGCTTAGTAAAGTGTAGTGTGTCCCCACAGTTCTGATTCAAACCAAAAATATATCAAGGTTAACAGCCCTTTTATTAGTGTGCTTTAATATATGTTTAGAAAGATGAAGGCATTCCCCCCAGTGATACTCCACATATAACCGTGGCTTTTGTTATTAGCGGGTTCTAGTACTTAATCTTCTTTGAGTTGCATTATAAATGAATTCTTATTTTATAATCACAACAATATATCCAGTCTTTACTGGTTCGTCATTAATATTTTTCAACAGATCCTTATTGATTAGCCATGTACCCATATAATATAATGCAGGATATTAAAATATTGAAAGACATGGAATTCATTCTGAGGAATCCTGATGAAATAAGGGATATAAGATATCTATGCAAACAACTATCATAGAGCATAGTGGGCAAAGATGAATATTATGAATCCTAAGGTAAAAAAGACCACAGGCTGACTTTATGCAAGAGATGGTATTTGAGTTAGACTTTGAGAAATGGATAGAATTTATCAGAAGGACACTAGAGAGGGCTGAAGACTAGGGAAACCAATAGTGATAGGAAAGCAAAAAGTGTTTCTGGGAATTGGGGAGAATTGTTTGGTTACAATAGAGGATTCTGATAGGTAAAAGTGAATACAGAATACAGACTGGAGTCAGATGTTGAGAGCATTGGATGTCAGATTAAAGACTTTGGATTTTAAACTTTAAGTAATGGGAAGCCTTTGAATGTTTTTGAGCAGTACAGTTATTGACTAAAGTTGGTGGGAGAATATCTGGCCAGTGAATGTAAAGAAAAGTTCTTGCAACAAAAAACTATGAACCAGAGACACTTTTTGGGGGTGGGGGGTGGGAGGGGAGGGACTGGGGTCAAAATGGGGGGGTTGCAGTTGTATGGGGAATATAAAAATAAAATCTATTATTTAAAAAAAAAAAAAAGAAAAGTTCTTGTTTCCCACTATTTTGGGTATCCGTGACCTACCTAACTATGAACACTAAGAGGTATTCATATTTGTTCTGTTGACTTGATGCTCTAATATTCAACTTTGGTTTTGTGTTTCCTTTATACCTTTGTATAAGGATTATTTGCTTTCTAAAGGAAAAGAATGTAGAACTTACAAATTTTTCTTATTCCTATTCTAGTTTCTCTAGATTTTGCCAGACCTTAGAACTATTTTGCCAAATTTGGAGTTAGTTGTGCCAAAATATAGAACATAACTTTCCCCTGTGCTGGGATCCATTTCTTTTCCCTTTCATTGCTAGCCTAGTGTTCCTGACTTCCTTTCTCACTATTATTCCCCTCAAAAATTTTGGTCAAACTATGAATTAAATGGTCCTTCACTGTAATACATTTACAGTAATGACTATCATATTTCTAGAATATCCTCCTGTTGAAATGGGTGTTAGTGGAAAACATGATGGTATTTATCTCTCTTGTGCACACTGTTATTTAATCTGATCTTTGATGCTACATTGTATAAATTAGGAATCTATTCCATTTTTTTCTATGCATTTCTGTAACATATTTCTATTAGGCAACCTAAATCTATGATTACTAGGAAAATGAAAGAATTGTGAAATATTTTGTCTTGCATTTAAAAAATGAATACAACCTCAAGATTTTATTTAACTTAGGGGATTAGGCAGAGGTTAGAGCAGGTTCAAAGGATCTTTATGAGTTTTTATTTGTAACAAACTGACATTTGGCAATTTGGATTCTTTTTGGAAGAACAATACCCATTTATTTGTGGTTCCTTTCTCATTTTACTGGAAATATTTTCTTATTCTTATACCAAACAATGTATCTGTCTATCTCTTATTAAATTACTTTGCAATGAGATCTTAAGTAACTTGGGAAAGAGAATCAAGAGGAACATTGTTCTTAACTAAATATGTATTTTATTCCCAGAAGAATTTAGTGAGTACTTTTACTACCAATGATATTAAAAAATTACAAGATGTTACAATTTCACAGAGGGAAAAAATTCAAATATGTAAGTCAGTATATATATATATATATATATATATATATATATATATATATATATATCTCCTTTGAGAAGAAGTATAGTACTACATGATTGGAGATAATAAATCCCAATGTAGGTCAAGGTAACCAAAAAAGGTGTATCAGAGAAAGGACTTGACTTATGTATGTCCCTAGGAAGTGTAATACGCAGGTCAATATTTTATCTGGTGTTCATTCACCCAATTTTTAACTTTAAGCAGGACACTGTGCTGGTTCCTGAATTGGGATTGAGGGAGAGTGTGATAGAAATTTGTATGAGTGATAGTTTTTGTCCTTTAAAAGAAGTTATGCTAGGGTTTGCAAAAGGAAATACATAAAATAGAAGTATACATAAAAGATGGTGCATAGGCATTATCAGAAGCTCAGCAAAGGGATAGGCCATTTTCAGCTGGCACAGTTAAGGTTAAACCTTTATTGAAGAAAGTACACTGAAGGCTGATCAGTAAGAACATTCAAGATGAAGTTCAATTCTTACTGAAGTAATTTCACCTCTATTCCTTCATTTTAAATGTAAAAAACAGGACTTATTACTTTTATTAATGGGATATAGGAAACAGTTTTTTAGTCACAGATTTGCCATTGACTGGATGTATAATCTGGGACACTTAAATTTTCAAAATACGAGGGGATTTTAAAACTTTCCAATCAGTTGTTTTTCTATCTAGGTTAATACCTCAGTGCTTTATATCTTCAGTTATAAAATGGGAATAATTATTTCCTTAATTTTCCTTAATTTCCTTAAATTTGCTTAATGTTATAAAATGAATTTGGCATATAAATGTAAGGTGTTAATGATTATTTTTCAGATGAGTGAACCAGATTGGCATTTTCAAAAGATGTATTTTTTGAAATCTTTTTTGCATCCAAACTTTTACTTATTGTTTACAGATTGAAAATTGTAACTATGCTGTGGAACTTGGAAAGAATACAGCCAAATTCTCCTTGGTTGGCATTGCTGGGCAGGACCTAAATGAAGGAAATGCCACACTTACTCTGGCATTGGTATGGCAGCTGATGAGAAGGTAAAAAACATACATTTATAGCAATGCTATCAGTTTCCTTCAACAAGTCATTTGAGATATATACAATGCATATACAATGCAAAATATTAATTTTTAAATGATTTACTGTTGATAGTGTATTTTTTATAAATTACACTTTATTTTAAAAGTGGGTCAGTCTCTAGAAACACAATCATTTTTATTAATGCTGCTTAAAAGCTGCTTTATAAGTTGTTTTATTTTTTAAAAATACCATACAGTAGTTTTTGTTTCTAAGCTTTGTAACTGGAATGTAATCAAGTTCAAATGCCAGACTAAAATTAGAAATATTTGTTAGAACTGAAGTGTTTTTTAAATATTTATCTGAATACTAATATAAGTGATGTGTGAGCAAATTTCCCCCCTTTCTGTCTCAAATATACATCTTTTCTGTTACAGATACACATTGAATGTGTTATCAGATCTTGGAGAGGGTGAAAAAGTAAATGATGACATTATTATTAATTGGGTTAACCAGACTCTTAAACATGCAAACAAAAAGACTTCTATTTCCAGCTTCAAGGTAATCAAAAGTTATTTAAAACTATTTTTAGTACAACATTTAGTTAGGAAGGAATTTTTATTCAGAACAACATTGGTTTGGGTTTGGAATTACAATGTTAAGTCTCAGAAACACTCAAGTTATGAGCTTAGGCATACTAATTATTTGCATGTGTAAAACAAAAATACTCAGTTTGAATTCTTGTATTTTTTATTGATTGTCCTACTGAATCTAAATGCAGGTTAATTATTATCAGACTTTGGTAATCTAATCTTAACAAAAATAGCATAGAGCCAAAAAACCCAATTGTCAAATGAAAAACATAAAGTCATTGTTTATATAGGACCTATAATGTTTTGTGCTCCCTATCAGCAGTCTCAGAATTGTATTGACATCATTTCCAAGGCATAACAGAGCCAACCAAACCGATTCAAGTGGGAATTGAGAAAACTGGTAGGAAAAAATATCTTCTCATCTGGCTTCATAATGGCACTTAACACTCACTTCCAAGCATTTGTGGATGATTCATAAAGCACTCAAAATGTAATCTGCACATACATACCCACTAATTTTCATGCATTTCCATTGTGTTTTGCTTTTGCATGCAAGCTGATGTTAGCTACAAATAAGCATGTCTGCTTGTACACATTCATTCAGTGAACTTTGTGTTTGTGATTTTTATTATATGTGAAAAATCAACAGTAAAATAGTATCCTTTAGTGAAATAAGATTACAAACATATAAAACCCTAAACTGTCCTGAGTTTTCTACCCTTCTTTCTTTCTTATTTTTGCCTTTGCTTACTATGTTTAACAACATTATAGAGCAGAAGAAATGTTAGAAATTAATCAATTAAATCTTTTATACTTTACCAAAACTAAGTCCCAAAGTGTGGCTATATAATACCCTTGGGGAAGTCCCTATTTAGGAAAGGAAGCAAATAAGAAAACATCAGTGTCTGCGGAATCAGTAATTCCATGGAAATCAGCTAAGGGAGTAGGGAGCACATAAGATGCAGTTTATAGAGACCTTAGCAGCTATATATCAACGGCTGAGTCACACCTCTGGAAGATAAACATGAATTTACTTCTTACTCACCATATAGTATCTGTGTGACCTTGAGCAAGTTATTAATTTCTCTATGCTTCATTTCTCCCATATTTAATATGGAGATAATAATAATATCTGTTTTCTGGGTTTATTGTTAAACATTAAAAAATGTGAAGAGCTCATTTGTATCTTGCACATATTAAGGACTCAAATAACTGGGAGGACTTGCCACACTATTGGTACTGCCAATATATAAAGGATATCATGTGATGATAGCAGCCACATCACTGTTTTTGTCCTTTTATTTTAAAAAAAATGACAGGAAGTGAAATGGAATGGAATAGAGTGTTCTAATAGTAATGTATATCAAGTTAAGAGAAACATGATACAGTCCATTATCTTGAAAATCAAGCCAAATTCTAGTTTATTTGTCTTTAAGATTCTAGAAGTTCTTTTTGCTTAAGTAATTTTTTATGATTAACTTAAGAAAAGGAAAAGGAAAAATGAGGCTAAACTAAGGGCTTACTATACTCCTATGCCACCTTCAAAAAGTAAAATGGGGCCCTCCCTGGTGACTGAGGGGTTAAGCCTCAGCTCTATTACCACTGTGGCCTGAGTTCGATTCCCTGCCTGGGAGCTAACCCACATATGGTGCAGCAGACCTCTCCTGTCTTGCCCTCTGCTCCCCTTAGCAGTGTATTTCAGTAAATCTACCAGTTCTGCACCCCACTCTGTCTGTGGTGAATCTTTTCACCCCCTTCACCTCTTGCCTACACCCTAGCTTTTTTACAAAAATAAATAAAGTAAAATGTCTTCACTGATAATATAAAAAACTGAGAAGTTGGAAGATAGGCTTATTTTTTGGACATAGGAAGATAAGGTAACCAATACAATTTCTAGAGACTTAAATTTTCATTCATCTCATTTCCCAAGGTGAACCCTAAAAAAAGATAAGTAGAAAAATTCTTATTTCCTAAATCCAAGTAAACAAATACTCAAAATAACACAAAACGGCCTAAATTTTCAGCTCTAAGATGATTAATGTCTGAGGATCTAGTGTATAACATGGCAACTACAGTTGATTGTATTGATTGTATTGATTGTATTGTATTGTTGATATTTGCTAGAACGTAAATGTTTTCATGCACAACAAATATATTATGGCAATGGTGACAGATGTTTTCATCCATCCATGGAGGGAAGTTGGGAAGAAACTTTTCATAATGTATAGGCATATAAGATCATCAAGAAGTACACTTTGACTATCTTACAATTTTGTCAACTGAATCTCAGTAAATTTGAAAAAAAGAAATGAGCAAAACATTTTTTTCCAAACTTAAAAAAAAATCCACATGTAAATAATCAAAATGTAGCAAAATAAAACACTTGTTTTTAATTATCATATAAATATATTAAAATTAAGCATATAGAAATTTCAAATTTGTTACAGAATGACATAAATATTTAATTTTAGAAAGTATATTGGTGTATATTAGAGTCATCTAGAAAACTTATTTTAAAATGTAGACTCCCGGTACCATTCACAGCTAACTTAACTCATTAATTTCAGTGTAGAGATAAATATTTCCTTTTACAATGTGTCCCAGATGATTTTCATGTAGGTGGTCTGCAGAATACACATTGAGAAAACAGGTGTAACAACCTTTCAAAAGAATCCATATTGCCAGCATCAGATAGATTTAGGGACCTTAATTATTTTTACCTCTACTTCTACTGCTTCCCAAAAATCAGTTTCATAAGGTGGACATTCCTGATAATGAGGAATATACATTTTTCTAAAGTTAATTAAAAAAAAATGTTGTAGCTCATAGATGACCTCTAAAAGTAACATGTTACTCTTTTTCTTATGGCTTCAAATTTATCAAATATTTATTAAGAATCTATATATGGCTGGGAGCTGTATTACATGCTTTCTCTTATTTTATCTTAATATATCCAAGAATCCTGTCACATTTTCATTTTTACTGATTAGGAAAGGATACTTTTGACTTCAGTAACAGAAACACAATTTAAAATGTTTGAAACCAAAAGGAAAGATGCTGTATAAGAGAAACCCAGAGACCCAGCTGGTTCTCCTCTCAATTGTAGTATAGCTGCTAGCTTGAGAGAGAACTCGTTCTCTCATTTACATTCACGAAGAGGGGTTACTGACTTCCCATATCTCTTCCTAAATAGTAAAATGTTCACATGAAATTAAATTGGGCCTAAATTAAATTATTGGGGTTACGCTATCTGGCTTAGACTAGTGTTTTCCAACTTTTTTTTATTATTGTTCCCCTAAGGAGCAATTTTCTTCTTAAACACCCCCAAAATTGTAATACCATAGCTATTATTGTATGTCTGCTGATGCACTGTGTGTTTTATGCATGAAAGAATGTTTATGACCTTACCCACATTGAGAATACATGGCCTAGAGTAACTCAGGATCACCCCTGGATTTGTGGTTAAAGTCAGCTTTCCTCTAAGACATGTCTCTGTGAGGGAGGTATGGTTATAGAGCAAAAATGTAGGTTGTTAGGATGGGGAAAGTAGTAAGAGTAGAAAGTTCACTGAGCAGATGATGAACCTGAGAGAAAGAACAAATAATTTGTTCAAGTACTGGTAAATGGTAAAATCATTTTGGATCAGGGTTTCTGATTCCAACTACACTGCTCTGACCCTCTAGAATTTAGTTAGACAATTAAACTTTTAGTCTGCCATGGAAGTAATCTCAAAAATGGAGAGAATTTTGGGAATTAGAATCAGGCAAACATGGTTTCAAATACTGGTTCTGTTCATGTTCAAATATTGGTTTTGAGGACTTCATGTTCTCCATCTTTAAAAGAAGTTTTATTTCTTTATTACCAGGCTTAGTAGGACTAAACACTAAGTATGTAAAGCAACAAGATTAATGCGTTTGGAAATGTTAGTTCCTTTCCACTATTATTTTCATTTCATATTCTGAGAAACATTAAGTGAAAGTTTAGGAATCCAGGGTCTAAGAAATAATATTACTAGAATTTGCAAAACTTGATTTACAATTCATCAGTTCCCTCTCAAAAGTTATTTTTTACAGCATGGATACTGTAGTAGCATTGTTTAGGAATTGTCATATCCACACTCCTTACTCAGGTAATGGCGACAACTCTGTGCACTGTAATCTCTGTAAAGACTGAAGGAAAAGCATGTTTCAAACGGTTCACGATGTATACTTTTTGCAGAAAAGCTGAATGTTCGGTTTAAAAAATGTATAAATTATACTCAGTTATAGAGTTATGATCAGAAGAGTCTGCTATTTATGAACATTTAAAGATGTTTATTACTATTAAACTTTATTTTCTAGGACAAATCTATTAGCACAAGTTTACCTGTCCTAGATTTAATAGATGCCATTGCACCAAATGCAATTCGTCAAGAAATGATCAAGCGAGAAAACTTATCTGATGAGGACAAGCTGAACAATGCTAAGTAAGCCTTTGTGGTTTATATTAAAACATACTGGCTCACTGATTCTTTCAAATCCTTTCAAGTAAAGTTACTATGTCTTTAGTATTTTTAAGTATAATTTGTATAAGAAACGTGATTTAAAGACATAAATTTAACCTTATTGTACAGTTAATCTTATCACAATTTTCACCCTTTTGTTAAATTTATTAAGTGAAAACATAATAGGTAACAAATACCAAGATATTTTTCTTATCTTTTCAAGATATGCCATTTCAGTTGCTCGAAAGATCGGTGCCCGGATATATGCCTTACCTGATGATCTCGTAGAAGTGAAACCAGAGATGGTCATGACGGTGTTTGCATGCTTAATGGGAAAAGGGTTGAACAAAATAAAATAATGAACCATTTAATATGATTTTCTGCCACATTAAAGACTTCAAATGCCTCAGTTTACAGAATTCTGAAATGTAATGAATATAAAACCAGAGATTCTTTATACACTCAAAATAGTTACATAATTCATTAATGAATCCAGTGTTCTGCTCATGCTAGTTAGAATATTGTCAACGTTTTGGGATAATACAGTTAATTTAGAAATTGATGCTGGTAATATAATGTTCATTGTAAAGCTGATATTTCATGATTAAATTATTTTTCTTTCCTCGAATTCTCATTAAAACAAGACTAATTCATTCTTTTTCATGGTTCAAAAAAGATCAGTACAAAAATTTTTTCAAGTCCTACTGTGAAAGGTGTTTTGATTTTGTGTGTGTGTTAATTTAGATCATAAATGTATTCACAGTCATAATCTACTTTAAACTTTTTACTTTCCTTTATATAAAGTGGCCTAAAACTTTAACTTTTCTGTAAATTTCTATATTATCTAAAATTTGTGACAAATATTATTCATTAACATTAAACTTTTTCATATATGAGAACTCAACCCCAAAATTACATGAATTTTTTCCTTAAAAGTGAAGTAGTTGCTTTTTACTTAAAATTTAATTTTGACTGCAGTGAGACTGTGTGTGTGTGTGTGTGTGTGTGTGTGTGTGTGTGTGTGTATGTATGTTAATTTGGTAATACAGCTTTAACTATGACATGCAGCACATATATGGTGTTAGAGAATGTGTGTGAATGTGTGTGTGTGTCTGTGTGTGTTTGTGTATAGCACTTGATTTACCCAGATTTCCTTAAAATGTATGTATAATTGATCAGTCAGCCAAGCTAATCATTAAGTATTTATTGTGTCCCCACTATTGTGTAACACTTTCCAGTTTGTAGATACCTGGTACATGAAGATTCCCTTTTAGAAATACATATTTTGAATGTGCATATAGTTATTTTCAACTGACTTCTTCCAATTATTTATAGTCAAACATTGGCATTTCAAGACATATTGACACTATGCTGTTAGCTTCAAATACTTGTGTTAATTTTAAGCTCCACTGAAGTCCTAAGTAATTTAGAATCTTTCCACTGAATATTGTTAGTAGAAGGTAACACAATACTAATATTCAACATAGAGTATTTTCCTATTTTTTCCACAGCCTCCTACAAACGGGCATTGTTTGGTTAATGCTTTTGTTACTCTTGGACTAGCTAAAGCTTTGGACCTATTTTCATCTCATTTTTGAGCAGTAGACAATTCTGCTAACAAATCTGCTCCCTACATCTTCCATTGTTAGTGCAACTGCTGTGCAACAAAAATGCTAACTGAATGAATAGGCCAAGTCCCATTTCTACCACTGATTAAAACATATGTTGGTAAGAGATTGCTCATGTGTTCAGACTTTTTTAAATGAAATGAAGTGGAATTTTGAAATATATTCTTCTACAAGAGAATTCCTTTTCTTTTATATTTTGATGATTGCTTACCATATATGAAAATTAAGATACATTCCTATCTTTTGTGAGATTATTTAAATCAGACCCCCCCTTTTTTTATTTTTCAGATTTACACAAAATTTGGCACTTTAGAGTGTTCTTTTTCTCACAAAGTATATTTAATAAAAATTTTGTGTATGTATAAACCTATCATATGTGTATGTTCAAGAAAGGAATTCTTAAATGAATCAGTAAAAAAAATTATCAGACAAAGTAATGGGGAATGAAGGTGGTTTTTGGTTCTTTAATGTAATTTTAGTAAAGACCAACTGCAGGATTATTATAAATTTTTATGAGTGAGTTAAGTCACAAATTTGTCTGCTATGATCCAGGTATGATGCTGCACACTGGGGATCTGGCTGAGTAAAATACATAACCTGACCTCATAAATCTCATAGTGAAGAAAGACTATAAACAAATAGGTATTTTAGATAGTGATAAATGCAGTAGAAGAAATGAGAGTAGTAAGACAGAGACTGATTTGGGAACCAGGGTGAACTTAGTTTGAATGATCAGGAAGTTTTCTCTAAAGATGTGTTATTTGCACTGAAATATGAATGAGGAGAAACTAGGTGATGAGGGTTCAGCAGAGGAAACAAGTGCAAATGCTCTGAAGCAGAAAGAGTTTTGTAGGGATCTAAAGAAAAGAAATAGGCAAATTTGGTCTAAGAGCAGTAAAGGAGAGGTACACAGTTTGGAGATGTAGATATGTCCATTCTACCTATAGGACTAAATCTAAATCTGGGGTTTCTTTTCTCCAGGGAAGTTGTGATGGTTTTTCTGCTTAATATCTATAATTTGGTGATTTGCTTAGATTAATTTGCTACTTCTGAAATCTTGTATGTCATTGTGTATTATAACTGTCATTAGTTTCCATTTCACAGATGTAAAATAAACAGATCATAAAGGATGTTAAAATAGTCAGATTTATATTGGCTAAAAAGAGTACCAGAAAGGCAAGAAGAATATTCTGCATCTAAATGATTTTAAAAGACTTTTGATAAATAGGATATTTTAAAATATTGGCTTATGGTGAAGGAGAGAAAATCCACTAATAACTTTGGAATGCCTCTTAGGATGATCTACTATAATATGCTGGAATTCCTCTTAATCTAAGAGATTAATTTAGCTCCTGTTAGTTTTATGGTTGTGAATACCTATTTCACAAGCTTGAAAAGTCTTCAGATTAAAGTGGTTTCTGTAGTTCTGAACCATCTGAACTTTTATCCTCAAACGCTGGAGCTTTTGGATGGGTTAGTGCTAGAATTGTTTTGCTACTGACAAAATACTTTACTGGACTACAAAGTATGTAAGTGCACATGGGGGCACACACATACACAGCGAAAATATACCACTGTTCACTGACCACTAATGAGCAATTATACATTCTATCAGACACAAATTAGGAACTATGAAAAGTTACTGAATGGGGAAGAGCTATGATCTAGAGACAGGAACAAAAAAGCTAAAATAATTCAATAAATTATTTTTTTGAAAATGCTTGGAAAGGTTGGCAATGTTGTCTAATACCTCTCAAAAGAAGATCTAAAAAGGGCCTTGAATGATGAGAATGATATATTTGGGAAATTTGGGAATTAGTGTTGATGAGAACAATGATGGAACAAATCAACCTGAACAAAAGAAAGTATTTCCCTTGAGTGTAATATAATCACAAATAAATTCATGTATTGCCTCAAAGCACCAACTGCTTTAGGTTTTTGTGTAGTTGGTTGTGTAAATAACAGGAATTACTAGAGACAAAATTTTTTAGTTTCTGTTCCCTATCTATAAAGGTGAAAGGATCCGCTCTAAGAGTTGGTAAAAAATTTTTTTGAAAGGAAGTAACAGCGTATTTCAGTTAGCTTTTGCCTGAATGACATTTTTTAAAAATCAGATTTATGGGGGCCTCCCCTGGTGGTGCAGCGGTTGAGCGCTGGACTGATAAGCTGCCTGCAGCCTATGCAGCGCCGGTTCGATCCCCAGCCACTTGGTGAGGGTCCCACATGGCGCGCAGACCTCTCCTGCTGCGCCCGCTGCTCCCCTCAGCAGTGTACTGCGGTCCTTCTGCCTGTTCTGTACCCCGCTCTGGCTCTGGTGAATTCCCACTCTTCTGACTGTACCCAGTGCTTGTATACATAAATCAAAAATAAATTAATTAAAAAAATTTAAAAACAGATTTATGAATGCAAAGATAAACAAAAACCATTGTTAATTCAATTAAAAAAAGAATTTTAAACTTTTTAGTCAACTGGTTTATGATATTAAGTTGGCATAACATTCCTGATGTTATACATTATTTCACATGTAATTCAAGTGTACCATATATAAGTGCATTTTTTGGATTATTGCCTTATAACAGTGTATAAAATAAGGGAACAGGTTGACACCTCCTCACATGTGTGTAACCACGCCAACTCTCCTACCACAGCACCCACAGTCCTTGACCATTGAGCCCCCTTTGTCTCCACCCTCACCTTCCCGCCTCTTCAAGTAGCGCCAGTTCTGCAGTCATATTGCTTGAGATTGTCTTGGTTTAGTTTTGTCAGTTCCAACTGTTAAAAACAGTCTTTAGAAATGATGGGCCTCCCCTGGTGGCACAGTGGTTGAGCGCTGGGCTGCGAAGCTGCCCCCAGCCTCTGCAGCACCGGTTCAATCCCCGGCCACCAGAGAGGGTCCCACATGGCGCAACAGACCTCTCCTGCCGCGCCCGCTGCTCCCCTCAGCAGTGTATTTCGTCAGTCTGCCTGTTCTGTTCCCCACTCTGTCTCTGGTGAATCCTCTCACCCTCCCGTGCTTCTGACTATACCCAGTGCTTGTATAAATAAATAAATAAATCTTTAAAAAAAAAAAAAGAAGAAGAAATGAGGGCAGTTAGTCCAATAAGTACACAAAAACAAGTTTGGCCGTGAAGGGAGGACCCATTACTTTCTACTTCAGGCAGAGAACACCGGAATATAAAATAACTTGACAATTCCATAAGGGATTTGAACTAAAGGTCAAGTCAAGGGCTCAATTACCACATCGCTGCTGCGTATAGACTTAAAGCGCAGCAGGATAAGATGGAGAAATTATCTCCAGGGCAACCGTGGCGTGGCGAAGGTGGACGCGCCTTTCCGCTGGCCTTGGAATCCTGAGGGCAGTAACCCCCCCACTCGCCCCCGGGCAGTGTCCCCCCACGTCCTAGAGGCAGGGGCAGGACGCACATAGGCTCCGCCTCCAGTCAGCCCCGCCCACAGCCGAGCCCGCCCCCGCCGTAGGCCCCGCCTCGCGTCGTCGCTACAGTCGGGCGGAAGATGACGTGAGAAGAGTCGCGAACATCTCGGCGCGTTGCTCGGCCCGGGTTCCCACAGTCTGGAACCCGACGTGCGCAGAAGCGCCTCTCGGAGGTCCTCTCCCCCCGATCTCATCCTCACCCGGGCCGGGCCGCCCCCCGCGCGGCCCCTGCGGCTCCTGGCACGGCCCCGCGCTCGGCTGCCGCCCTGGCGCGCGCCACCCTGTCGTCCCCGGACGGGCGCGGACCGGCTCGGCCCGGGCGCCGGCGGCTGGGGAGGGGGCGCTGGCCCCGAGGCCGCGCATGCGCCGCCACCAGCCTGGGGCTGTCGGTGGAGGGTGATTGCTGGCTCCGAGGGGAGGCGACGCCCTTTGGGGCCAACGGGCCGCACGCTGAGGCGGCCGTGGGAACGACTCATCCCTTTTCCAACTCTGGGGTGGGGCTGGGGTCGGGGTCGGGGCTGGTGGGGGCCCCGCCCCCGTCTCCCGGCCTGCCCCCTTCCTGGGCCGCGATGATGGCGGCCCTGTACCCGAGCACTGACCTCTCGGGCGCCTCCTCCTCCTCCCTGCCTTCCTCCCCATCCTCCTCTTCGTCGCCGAACGAGGTGATGGCGCTGAAGGATGTGCGGGAGGTGAAGGAGGAGAACACCCTGAATGAGAAGCTTTTCTTGCTGGCGTGCGACAAGGGTGAGAGCTAGGCCCCTTTCTCTGCTTCTGGACGCCCCTGCCCTCCACACCCTTCATCCGTCCCCAGCCTCAACTTGGGGTGCTCCCTCATCCTCATGCGCTCAGTGGCTGTTCCTGCCGCGCCCGCTGTCTGCCGTGGCTACCCGGCGCCTCCTCTGCCCTGTGCGTGCCCGGCGGGAGCTGCCGGGGCTGCCGCCCTCTGGGCGCGCCACCTGCACGGTGGCCCGCGTCGTGAGGTCTGGTGTTTGGGTAGCGTCGTAGGGGGCCGGACCTTAGGGTTTTAGCCGCATCTCTGTTTCTGCCCACATGACTGACTTGTCTTCCTCTCCGGGTTCCAGGTCTTTTCCTTCTGAAAAGCCAGGGGTTGTCTGCTTTCGGACCTTCCAGTCCGAAAGTTAGGATCTTCTTTTGGATTCTTCGTGTCTTACGGGCTTTCTTCTGCTTTTTCTTTAAAACCTACTTCGGCCACCCAGTGCCTTGGTGTTTCTGTGACTGCTGAGTGGGATTAGATGTGCCAGTATCCTAGTGGCGATACTTGAAATAAGGACAGGACTGCGGATATTCTGCTAGTGGCCAAACTGTCTCCAAACTTGCAGAAAAAAACTTTGTTCGTACTATTTGTTGGAGATATTGCTTCGGTCTGCTTTGAGAAAGCTAGTGCAAAATAATTACAGGGCAAAAAAGTGTGGGCAATATCTAGTTCATATATACATAAATTGATTTCCATATATAGAAATCAATTACTGTTGTGGCCATAATAAAGTCTCTTCGTTTAAGCATGCTTTCTAGTGATGCATATAATAAAAGAAATGGGAAATGAATTGCCCTAAGACTGCATTTGTTTCTTGGGTGTTAAAAATGTGCTGTAAATTTTCTCCTTTTTAACTTTTTCTACTTGCCTTGCAATGGCAAGGAATACTGTTTAGAATCATGCAGACTTCCAAAACATAAACCCAGTGAGCAATTTAACACTGTCCTGTGAAAAGACTAAGTGCAGAAGGATTTTTATATGTACCTGTGAGTGTTTTAATAAATGACAGGCCTCTAACTACTTTTGAAATTATTTACTCAACTTTTTGAGAACACATTGACATATAAACAAAATCCACCCATGTTAGTTGTCAAGTCACTTTTATGTTCTTATGTAATAGTCTTATATTATGAATGCATTTGTTAAAGTCCACGGTGGACACACTTTGAATTGTCTTGGAATCGTAAAGAAATGTATTTTTATATAACTTCACAAATTGTGAATTATGTAAAGTTGTTTAGTATTACTAGAGTGAATTGCCCTAGTTCTCATCTTCAAAATTCTGAGTGAAAGGGATAAGATTGTGTCCTACTAAATTAAGTGGATGCAGCATACTGAGCTATGATTATTTTAATGCAAACAGAAAGTATGTCAAGAAGGGAATTTAATATTCTTGTCAAACTGAGGGCAGGAATGTCATAAGGGAGTATGACTGGAGTAAGTAGTTGTGTGATGTGTATATTTTGAATTATTGCATGACATCTCAAAAGAGAGTTAACATTTTTGTAGCCTATCCAGTAGTACCAGTCGAAGTACCAGTCGAAATAGTTTGGAATTCTTTTTCAGTTTTCCATTTTATAACATCATTAAGATCCTTGGAGTGATTTGGCTTTTGGAGGTGGGGTTGAAACTATACTTGTTCCCTCCCCAACTCCTATAATTTTTTTTTTTTAATGAGTGAGATGAAATATAGGTATTTTCTATTTCAGGTATGTTGAAATAAATTCTTGGGTTAGATTTGTAAAAATAGCATACATTAAAAAGTAAATTTGAATGCATGGGCAGTGTATTTAAGTTAGGGCAATGTATTGTTTTGTTGTTGGTGTTCACTAATATTGTTAAACCAAAGCTTTCTGAGGTGAACTTGTAGCTTCACTATAGATTTCCCCTGCTATCCAAAGGTAGAACATTTCTTTTTTGGTATGAGCTGGCAGATTGGGGGAGAACGAAGGGGCTTTGGAAATGCTATTATCATTAATTTATGGAAAAATTTCAAGCCATCTCAACCCAAAAAACTACCTACCAAATCATAACAAATAGGAATGTTCTGCTCTTGGATAGCAAGGGAAACCTATGTTATATTGGAGCCTTTATCAAGCCAAAAGGTATTTACTGAAATAACAACTCGGGTAGAGTGCACATGCTTTTCAGAGGTGATTTCATTTAATCCTTACAACCCCATGAGCCATATCTGCTATTGTCTCCATTTTGCAAATGAGGGAAATGAGGCATAGCAAAATTTTAAAACTACTTTAAGGCTATACTAGGGAGTAGAGGAACTCAGATCTGACTTTGAGCCTGCTCTCTTCATTACTTTATTATACTGCTCTGGTTGCAGATGAATGAATGGAAATCATTGTGTTAGAAAAGACACATGCACATTTGGATTTAATATTTGGAGATTAAACTTGCTCTTTATGAACCTTATAATCCTTGATTTTTATGGATTATATTTATCCAATAAGCAAAAGAAAGCATGACACTTCTAGTAGCACCAGAGCAGAGCCATTATAAAATGTCTGTTTCTCATTCTTTTTAGCAATCTTACTCTGTGTGCAAAATGTTCAAAATATATTTCTTTTTTTTTTTTTTTTAAAGATTTATTTATTTATTTATTTATTTATACAAGCACTGGGTACAGTTAGATGCGGGGCGGGGCGGGGGGTGAGGTGAGAGCATTCACCAGAGCCAGAGCGGAGAGCAGAGCAGGCAGAAGGACCGAAGTACACTGCTGAGGGGAGCAGCGGGCGGCAGGAGAGGTCTGCGCGCCATGTGGGACCCTCCTCTGGTGGCCGGGGAGCAGCCGGGGATCGAACCTGCGCCATGGAGGCTGCGAGCAGCTTCGCAGCCCAGCGCTCAACCACTGCGCCACCAGGAGGCCCCAAAATATATTTCTTTTAAGAAGAATTCCTTAAGCAACAGTTGTGGAGATGAGATGATTATGTGCATGTTAGTGCATAGATGGCTTTTTGAAAGATGTGTACAGATTAAGGTGTAAAGAAGATGTAGGAGAGTGGAAAGAAAAAGATTTTATTTAGAGTTTGTATAGTTGACTTTTTGTAAATGATTCCTTAGATGCAGACAAGTGCTGGGGTAGGTAATGGCCACTTGTGGCTGTTCATCTTGAAAGTGGGTCAGAATCAAAAGTAAAATTATTTCTTTTCTTTGTGTATAAAATTTGAAAGGAAAATTGAATTGAAAGTTCCTGTGTCAGTGATATTAAGTAAAACCCGGCACCCCCATGTTAATTCTCAGGAATTACACTTATATTCTTTTTAGGCCTAGAATACTGCAGTTCAGAGGTAAAGATTAATTGAAACAAGAACTGGCAATAAATGTTTCATGACATATTAAGCAGTGGTTCTTACCACCCATGTCTTTTCCCATTCTCATTGAGAGTTATTAATAATGACAGTACAGCATAGTATATAATTAATATAGTAAACCATAAGATGTGTATGGCTTTACTTCAGGCCTGCTGGCTGGAGAAAGTTGATAGGATTATTTTGGGAGCATCTAAACTAAATATAGTTCATGATCATTCATTTCTTCTAAAGTGCCTGTTAAGTCAATGTTAGCTCTTAGTATATAGTATCCTTACAAGCCCTTTAATTTGTTGGTAATCAATTGTGTAGAAAAAAGGAAATAAAAGGATTTTGTCTGGATTCAGTACCTGCCAACTTTTCATAAAGAGCATTTCCAGGAAATCTGATTCGCAGCTAATGTCAGGAGGAAAGGGATGGAGAAAGTTGAATTTTACCTTTATTTTTGGGCTCAGTCTAGAGTCTTAATGTCATCTTTTTTGGTGTGGTTTGCTTCATTGTAACAGAGGGTGTTTTGATAGCTGAATTCCTAGGTAAGCTGTGCATATCTTTGGGCAGAGGATGCATTTACCATATGCAATTTTTTGGGGAAAAGGGATATTAAGTTTCTGTTTTAATAACACCTTAATTTAATGGGACTTTTTTACAAAGCCATTTGAGGAGAAATTTTGAAGTGTGGGATTGGAGAGAATAGCAGTGGGAAGAAATGTATAGAGCACTGGGTATTGCTAAGAAGTCTTATGTTGGCAAGGAGCACCTAATGTAAAGAGGCATGTGTTTTGAGTGAAGAAAACTTTGCTGAAAGGAGGTCAGGGGTGTACTCCAGTAAAGATTCTGCAAGCATTTCATAAATTGTCATTAAGCTTAGTGTTTAAGTAATTTGTACAGGAGAATTTTTTTAAATTGCCCATCCTGTCGAAAAGACATGGTTCTTAGTTATTTTAACAAAAACCACTCAAATCACAAAATATCAGTGGGATAGTTCATGACAGACTTAATTGTTGCGTTGAGTTACCTAAGTGCTTTGCAGTACTGTAATAGTCATTTCTCTGCAATGACTCCAAGTGTGTTGCTTTCTCTAAGTTGCCATCTGAAATATTAAGTTTTTTTAACAATTTTTTTTAAAGATTTATTTATTTATGCAAGCACCAGGTACAGTCAGAAGCGCGGGAGGGTGAGAGAATTCACCAGAGCCAGAGCGGGGAACAACAGGCAGACTGATGAAATACACTGCTGAGGGGAGCAGCGGGAGTGGTAGGAGACGTCTGCCACACCATGTGGGACTTGCTGGCAGCCGGGGATCGAACCGGCACTGCAGAGGCTGTGGGCAGCTTTACAGCCCAGCACTCAACCACTGCGTCACCAGGGGAGGCCCTGAATATATTAAGTTCTTAACTCTGTTAAGGGACTATAAAGGGGCTTTATCAAGAAATAACTGGATATATCCTTATCCTTTAGGAATGCTCTCTTATGTTTCTGTGAGGGAAAGTAAGGGAAAAATACATGTTTGTATCCATTAGCAGTATCTGAAGGGAAGAAACAAGTACTCAATTTGATTTAAATGGCCTATTTGTGATTTGGAAGATGAGATATTCTTAGTATGTCATATAGCTTTTATCCTGGGGAGTTACAAATATATAACCCAA